TCCACCTGCCTCCCACTTGTCATCTGCCTCTTCTGTCTCTGTCACCCTCACCTTCCCCTTCCCTCATGGCTTCTTCTTCTTCTCCCCTTGGGAGCTCCCTGTTCCTGCTCTTTTCCATGATGGCCCTGCCACCATGTCCTCCCTCATCCAACTACAAACCTTCTTTTTGTTATGGCAGGGAATGCAGGCCCTGGTCTTGCTCTGACCTGGCTTGCACTGTCCCACCATTTGACCTGCTATACAGCAGGTGCATGGGGGCCTCCTGGGCACAACTGCCACCACAGAGGTCCCAGGTACCCTCTGTACATTGTTCACATCATAGACAGCACCACATAACCTATGAAAAAAGAACTATGAGTCAGTTCCACCTGACTTGCAGTACTCTGCCACTCACCTCTGCATGGCCTCATCCCACCTGGCCTGAGCTCTCTCCTCAGAGGCCCTCTGCCTCTGCCTTTCTGCCTCCTCTTCTGCCACCTTCTCCCTTTGAGCCTCCTCTTCCTCCAACTGCTCCTCCTCCACCTTCTGCCTCTTGGCCTCCTTGCACTTGGCCTTGCACTCTACCTCATGCTCTTTCTCTCTCTGCTTGGTCTCCTCTCATTGGCATGCCTTCTCTGCAGACTTCTCCCACTCAGTGTCAGTGGAGTTGTTGGTGAGGACAACCAGTTCTTCATCTGTGACTTGGGAATAGTTGCAGACATGGCTGGGGGTTGGCTGGGGGGCTTTGCTCTGGTGCTGGGAAGACATGATGATGGGGGGCAGGGACAAAGGTTCAGTACCCTAACATGTGTTTTTAAGCAGTTCTTCAGACTCTGATGGAGCTCTGCCATGGCTAAACCATTGTCCTCAAGGCATCAAAACAATTTCAAATGATCAACTTGTGTTGATCTCATTCTGAACAAGTGGCCTTCAGGGGTTCAGGCCCTAGGGGGGGGGGGCACTATCATGACTGTGTGTTCATTCTAAGTCCTCACTCACTCTGCACCCTTTTCCACTGGTCATTCACTCACTACACACCAACTCCACCCACCTTCTGTTGTTTATGAACCATCTCTGCTCTGACTGCTGTTGGACTTGTACTGCTCTCCTACTGGACCATGCAGACCATTCTCTGAGGAGTCATGTGACTACCCTTCAGACTTCTCCCTGACAGCACACAGTCAGGTACTCTGCAGTGTGCACACTGCATGGTCCAGTGCCTGGACTGTTCCCTTTTTGGGATGTTCCATGTTACCCATTTGTATGTCCTCTGTCTACCCTTCATTCATTGTCTAGGAAGTTTTACTTGAAATTTTATGAGTCTCCATATGTCAGTTCCAATTCCAATTACTGTACCTCCATAGTAGTATAAAAGCATGTATCATACTCTGCTGTTCTTCAATATGAATATTGACTTAGTCCCTACTCCCTCTGTCTCTGTCTTCTGCCTGTTGGAGTCACCTCTGACTATCTGTCTGTCCTCTCCCTCTGAAATATGAGGGCTGAGATCATGCAAGGGGGTAGTGCACAAGCTAAACCCAATGCCCTCACTCCACTCCACCTTTGTCTCAGCAGACTTTGTTCCTGCCAACACTCTGCCAGTCAGAGTTCTGTTCTTTTGTGTCAGACTTGCTTCCAAACCTCTCCCCAGACCTTGTCTAGCATCAGAGTTGCTCAGAGTAGGCCCAGACTTGACAGGCTTAAGTTGTCTGAAAATTCCTCATGGATGGTAACAAGAAACACATTGCCTGTGTGCAATGCAACCAGTCAAAGGGCAAGTGTCAATGGCCCAGGGATGGGAAGGATGCCAAGGCTGGGCCAAAGGTTGCTGGGAAGGTCAACAAGGGGAAAAGCAGAAAGTCAATAAGGAGAATGCTGAGGCCAGGCCCAGCAAACAGAAGCAGGCAAAGATGAGCATGAAGCTGACTGAGGCTTTGGACCTCAATGAACCTGAGGCCAATGGGAATAGGTCGAAGGAGGCTGGCACTGAGCACTACTCAGGTTTAGAGGAGAAACTTGATCAGTTGATCAAGGCCACAGGGCTGATTGCCAACAACCTGGCCAGCCTTCTTGAACTTCATGAGACTGCTGTTGAGAACTCAGGCCAAATCACCAACACCCTCAAGTCAATACTCAATGAATCCTATGGCTTTGGGGTGGCAGTCACCCCTTTGGACTCAGGCTTGTCCAATCTTGACTTGGATGAGTTGCATGAGGAAGCAGAGTGGCTGCAGGCTGAGGAAGGGGGGGTCAAGGGAGAAGATGAAAACATGGCTGAAGCCTGTTAAGTCTAGTTCATCACTGGTCCAAGGCTGGTCTGGAGCCCAGTCAGGGGTCAGAGGGGAAGACAAAGGTACTAGAGGTTTGGACTATTGGACTTAGCAACTGAAGGGCAGCACTATTCCCTTGCATGGGCCACAGTCTGGTCAAGAGGTAGAAGACAAGAGAAAGAGGAGAGTGGGATAGATGAGACTAGTTTGATTTCAGACTGAGGCTAAACAGATGTTCCTATGGCTTAAATACTAGAGGTAAACTAAGTGTAACATAGCACCAGAGACTGGTTGCACTGGTACAGTGGTGATTGGTAAACTGATTGGTAAGTACAATGTTACAAAGAATATCATCAAGCAAAGGCATGAACAAAGGTTTACTGGGAACTGGGGCAGTGTCAAGATTGCACAACACCCCTGACTTCCTCTTAGGGCAGAGTAGGAGCAGGTTGGGCTGTGGAGTACAGCAGTCAAAGTCTGAAGTGAATCTGACCACTGGGTGGCAAGATATGCAACAAAGAGTGAGCAGAGGGGTATGGAGGAAAGTTTTGGAGGTCAGAGGTCATATAAGAGGGCATTGGGTTTAGCTAGTGTGCTGCCCCCTTGTGCAAGCTCAGCCCTCATATTTCAGAGGTAGAACAGACTCAGAGGGAGTTGGAAGTGGGGACTTTATTCAATATTCATACTGATTACATTGGAGTACCACATGGCCTTATATACAATGTAGGTCAAGGGCAGTGCAGTGTAGAATGCAAACCAATAAGCATATAACAGGTTAGCAGTCCCTCCAACACAAGGTATAGAGGATAGGGACAATGTGGACCTTAACTGAGACAAGGAAACTACTACAACAAGGGAAAGAGGGTAAATACCAAAGGAGCAGAAGAATGGAGAGAAAACTGACACAAGGGTGGAACCCTATCTGGAATGCAGGGCCACAAGTCTGACAGCCCACTGAGCTGACCAAGGCCTTGGAGGAGGCACAGATGAAGGTCTGGCCTCCATGTCACCAGCCTGAGGGCAGAATTGAGTGGAGTCAGTTGGAACATGGACAGGGGACCTTGGAGAGGTGTGGAGATGTGTTGGGAGGGTCAGAGGAGTGTGGGAATGTGTCAGAAGAGGGTGGAGAAAGGTTCCCAGGGTGCAGAAGGGGGAAGAGTAGAAGTTAGGGGCTTACATTGGTGTCATGGTCATGACAGGCAGGACTAGTGGTGGGGCCAGGTATTGCACCAGTCTGGTACCAACTGAGCAGACAACTCAATTGGGTACTGCCTTGCAGTGCCTCACAAGCTAACATGTTTCTGGGTTGAAGTATCAAGGCTGGGACCAAGGCAGGGGTTGGAAGAGACCAGTCAAGACTGGGGTAGAGCTGGTCTAGGGTAGTCTAGATATGGTCATGACAAAGCTGAGTAGTTGTCATAGCATAGCAGTTTTGTTTCTTTTTTGCCAATGTCAGGAGTCCAGTCTTAGTCTTGTACAGTAAAGTGAGAGAAACAAGAAAAAAAAGAAAACAAAGTATGTATGTGCATGGCACACCCTCAATGGCCTGCCATGGATTCTACACAAAGACCAGATAATGACAATGCTAAAGGGAACAGTCAAGATTGCCCCTTCCTCCTCCAAACAGAACCTCTGAAAACCCATCACAGTACAGATGATATGTGACCTCTGTGTACACCTATAGGAAGAAGACCCCCTGGATATAGCCATGTTCACTTCGCCTAACAACCACCTTCTATGTACCCACCAGGGTAGGAGAGTTCAGAATCAAATGCCTCAACACCTTCAACCCCATGCTTCACATCACCCCCAACAGAGTACACAAGGACACAGACTGCAATGGCCTTACCACCACAGTGTTTCTCCTGCTGAGCACAAAGTCAAACCCCAGAGGTGAAGAAGTGAACTGGGTGAAACAGTCAGGCCTGTCTGACTCTCATGAAGCACTCCACCAGCATCTACAGATCAACAACCCACCTGCCAACAGCCCCCTTTTTGCTTACAAGAAAGATGGCAAACACCACCCCCTGATGTGCCAAGCATTTATCTCATGCCTGAAAAAACTAGCAAAAGCAGCAGGTCACAACAACATACATGGAGACAGGCTCAGGATTGGAGCTCCACTGGAATACTTATCATGAGGAATCCCCTTTCACATGATGAAGGTCAAAGGGAGGTGGGCAAGTAATGCCTTCCAACTCTACCTGAGGAAGCACAACCAAATACTCACACCATACATACAAGCCATGCCTACAGAGACAGCTGCCAAAATTGTGTGCATAGCCATGCCCCCAGTCCACTGAAGTGACACATGTGAGTAGAAGTCAATGCCCTCCTAGTTGGCAGGGAGCTTAGCATCAGCCCATCATGTCAGGCACTTCCCTCCTGACACCTGGGATCCACAGCTAACAGTCATCTTGGATCACCTTCTCACCACAGCCAGAAGGTGCTTTGCACCTTCACCCACTCTCTGCTCACATATGCATTATCCCCTTCATAGTTCCAGACTCTTCCCCCCTAAGCTTATGTTCATATTAGGTGCCTGTGCATCTCAGGACTGCATTTCTCCTCTGTGTTATTTCTATCTAACCCTACAGACATGTAGTGGACACTTAGCTTTGCTCTAAGTGTCCTTGGTTTGCTTTTGTTTATTGTTTACATTTGTTTATCATTTTTGTGCACTTACTGTTGTGTGCCCAGTGAAATTTTCTTCAGTCTCTTACACTGGGCACAAGGCCTCAGTTTGTGGTTATCTCAACAGCTTACACATCTACAACACACAAAGATAAATACACCATTGGCTGAGTAGTTATGACACATGCATTCAACAAGGTGGTGAGGCAACAATGCTAGTGGTGGAAGGAAGGGGCCATTGGATCAGAGAGCAGATGGCCAAAAGAGGAAAGAATAGTCCAACAGAAAATGAACACAAGGAAACAGTCAGGCAAGATGCAACACTTGGAGGACTCCCTCTTTCACTTCAACATACTCCTGCCACCTCCACCAGCTGGGTGGCCTGCTCAGCCAGTTCTGCAAGTAATAACTGATATTTAGAGGTGCCCTCTGCTGCATCACCTATCACCCTGGATTAGTGGGAAATAAGCTCTGAAATCAATTTGGTGATTACAATATATTAGAGCACACACCGTTCAAGTGGACCCTGACCATCATCTGGGATATAATTAATCACATTCCTGAGAACCATTCCAACTTTGTGAACATTCTAGGTGAAGCATTATTGTCTTTGCTCTTGGGTGTGCATGGAGCAACCTACATTGGCTCAAGATGTTTGCATGTGCTGTTCCACAGTGGCACCATTCACATAGCAATCAATCACCTGTCACTCAATGTCAATCAGCATCAATGAAAGTGAGAATTGACTTGCCTTTCTTAGAACTTGTGTGATTTCTGAGGTGACTCCATGCCAACATATTAGCAGGATCTAATTTGTGCCTGCTCTCAGCAAGCCAGCCATCAACAATGGTCACTAAAGTCTTACCTTTCCTGCAATATCTTCCACCATTGCATGCCTTAAATGATCCTCATTGGTTCCAGAAAGTGTCTTTTGCAACATCTTGATTTCTTCTACCACAGATAGAAAATTGCATCTGAATGGAAAACACCACAGTGAGCATATATGACTGAGCAAGGATTGAAATGTGCACCTATCAAATTTAGTGTCTAGCCCACAGGAGCTGACAAAGAGGTGAAATGTGAGGCTATCCGAGAGATGTGATATACTCTTACCTGGGTTCCCACTTTTCATAGATGGTAGAAATGATCTGAAGAAACTTTCCATGACATGGTAACCAACTACAAACTTGACAACTAGCAACTGGATAAACTTACCACTGCAGCAAAGGGTGCTGACACTAATGTAATTATCTTGTTTTCCAATGTTCTAGTATCAGCTGCTGAGTTGAGGTAAAACTGCAGGTCAGATCCAGGTTCTGGGGGAAATACTGGGTAGCAGTCACCAAATTCTGTCAAGTGTTTGATTAATATCCCAATGTGCTGCTCCTCCTGCATGTCTACCATCACTTCCCTGTCTTCAGATATATCTTGTCTTGGGGAGGCACTTCCTGAAGGACAAAGACTTCTAGACATGCACATCCGACCTACAATCTTGCATGTGTGCACATGCATGTTGCAGCATGGTACAACTTCCCACACATGGCACTGCCACTGATAAATTTCCTGTGGTAAGTATGGAACTAATGTCCCAATGCACCACTTCTGTGTGACCACCATTACTTCCCTGTCTTCAGACATACCCTGTGTTGGGGAGGCATTGCCTGAAGGACAAGGTTTTGCAAATGAGCAGCACATCTCATTGTTTCAACTTAGAATTACCTGTTTTTGTGCAGGGTTCATTACATGATTTTGATTTTGGCTCCATCATCAAGGGTAATTCATTAAAGAATGCTATCTCCCCAACCTGGATCAGACCAGTGCCTGGAGTCAGATGATGAATTAAAAAAAGTGGAAAGAAAATGTGTACAAAATCATTGAAGTTGCAGCCACCAAATATTCCTAGAAAGAATTTAACAGCACCCTCACAGGACACTGTCACTTCATCTTCCTCATCTGTCTTGAAGATACTCAGGAGTCAATCATTTGAGAAGTTGTTTAGTGACAGACTTACCCATCCAGCTAGAACTGAGAAGTTATGTCTACATAATATCAGCATCTCCAATGACAGATGAACTAGCATTGATATGCTCACATGATATTCAGGAACATATCCATGACCCCCTCATCTGGATCCACCTGATGCCAGGACATGGGCATCATGAGGGAGCACAAAGGTGTAGAGGTGCCAAACTTCTGCCATGTTTCAGGACCCAATACGTCACCAGATTTGAAATCAGCTCCAAGAATGTGGCACTCTGAACACTTTATGATTGTTGTTACAAGAAGTTTGCCTGCAAGATGGAAAGACAACTCTTTCAGCAAGGAAACAAGCTGTTGGTTCACTGGAAGTGACCAGCCAGTTGCATCATAGAGGGCCAGACGATGATAGCTACACCGACTCTGCTGAAATGGTGAGGCTATGCAAAGATTTTCTTGCATCCATCTGGTATGCATGCCACTGACAAAATTCTTGACAGGGTCAATTGCAAGGTCCGGAGCAAACTCGGAGATATTGCCTTCGGGCTTGAACAAATCCCCATCATGTGGAATACAGCCATAATCACCCACCTGTGGTCATTAGACATGGGAATATGTATATTGCATATTGGCCTCACCTTAGTCTCTGATTCTACCAGCACCAAGTCCATTGGAAAAGAATTGACAGACAAGTTATACGCTTGATGCGATTTATAGGAAATAAATCTCCTCATCAGACCAGGGACTCCAGTCTCAATGAGCTGTGAAGGCATCAATGTTGAGCAAGGCACATCGGGGTCTAATATGTAAAGCACACCAACATCATAAGTTGCATGGCTCACAGATGTGCAACAACCAGGGCACCGGGCAATGTCGATCGTAACCATGCAACGCGCCTCGTCACGATGTGTCGCTCCATAGATCACCCTTGCACCCTGGATGGATCGACGAAAATGGGCATGCTTGATGAAGTAGGGTGAAATGTCCGAGCACTCATCCACAAGTCTCTGCAAAGCCCGCCGCCGCAAGAATGCCACCTTCTGCTCGAAATTCTCAGGGGACAAAATAGTAAACGCAGAGCGTCGGGGACCACAATTACTGAGAAGTACCAAAAAGCGAGTGTCATCTTCCCTGCGGACATAAGAGATGGCAGCAAAATCTTTCTCTTCCGAGAGGGTGATCGAAGTGTCTTTCACCTCTGTGCCTTCAGGCACGACGCAGTCCAGGACAAAGCCATTGTGCGAAAGTGTCGGGTATTGTAACTCGAAGACGGAAGTAGTTGGATACCTGGCTTCTGTATAAGGAAGAAAGTGCTGCTTGAATTCCATTTTCCCGGGGTGGTTTGGGATGCCAAATATCCTGAAACAGGTAGAGTCCAAAACTACCAGATGTATGGCTATCATTTTGGGGTAGCCGGATAGGTCACTACATGCCAGAATGACCTGAGAGATCGACCCGTGGGTTATAGTGGGCAGCCGTATTTTGATACCATTATTAGTAACGGTGAACGTCTTCCATAGCCGGCCAAAATTGTTGCCTTCTTCTTCAGTGAGGTCTTTCTTCAGGTCCGCGACGAACGTACTGAATAATGACAGCTCAATGCTGCCACAATCTCTGAACCAGCTCGGGTCGTCCGCCAAGAAGCTACTGGACCACCCCGACTTCCATGTGTGGCCCCACGCAAAGATGCTGTGGTCGTTGGACATGCGAATGATTTCCAGTTGTAAACGACGAAATGCATTCTTTCCCTCCCCGTAAAGCATCGGCATGTGCACACCGAGGAGCCCCAATAGCGAATACGCCCGGTCCTCCTCCCGTGTTGTCGTCCGGTCAGCAGCCCAGGACATAACCTGGGCTACACTCGGACGCGTTCCATCCAGTCCATACTTCAGGACATGCGCGGGGACTCGCGCAACGACACTGAGAGAGTCTGCAAGTTGAGTTTTGTCGCCTATGAATTCCCACTTCTGATCGAAGAAATGGGCAAGCTTGGGTGCAATGAGTTCTTGAAGGGTCCAACCTCGCGAAAACCACTTTGGAATGACCGTCGACTCTCTCCGGTCCGTCCAAGAGTCCCCAACGGTGTCGTGGAGGTAGTTGTAACATTGTTTCGCGTTTTTGTACCACTGGTACATTGAGTTGATTGATTCTGATAGTTCGGAGCTGCTTCTTTTATCAATGCAACAAGTGTCGACCCACGCCCACTCCAGACCGTCTTTCTTCGCCTGTTTGCAGGTGTCAACTATCTTCTTGTACCCGGTGCGCCCTCTGATCTCATTTCTCCTTCCCTTATCCATAAGTAAAAGCTTGGTCATTTCCTTAAACGAGACCTCTTTCTCGCCCTGCTTTGCCACGCCCCAGCAATGCGATAGAATGGCATATTCTTTGTCCTCAAGGTCAGGGCCGCAAAACCATTTGATGATTTCGGTATTGGGGTTAACCCCATTCCCTTGGTCGATACCTTCCTCAACATCGAGTATAGCAGCAACGTCAATGAGCCGCATCGTGTAACTGCGATTAATGAGTGAGTCAGTCTTGTGGAGATGAAGACCTCACGCACTTAAAGACAGGTCTCGAAGCCCAGTCGCCAGGTTGGTATAGCACAACGAGAGGATGACGGTATCTACAGTCTCAGTCGAATAGTCAAAGAGTTGAGCGGCTGCAAGATAAACAGCACAGGAGAACGTGGAAGTCTCAACGCAATAACGCTTAGACAAGGCCGCAAGGAACACACGTGTTCTCATCACCTGATACGATGATCACGAAATTTTTCTCACGATCGGGGCCTCCAAGCTGTAGTGGGCGAGCAGTGTTCACGGCCGTGATGCACTGGCGTCTACTTCGGCTCGAGAATAGGCTTCCGCGCGAAGGGCGAAGGCACGCAAACTTACAAGTTGTGAAAAGACGAGCATGATGTCGTTTTTCTCAGTAACAGCTGGGTAAGGTATCAAATTCGCTTCGAGATGATCTCAGAATTTGCTGACAGGTGAATAGTGGGATCAAGTCCAATTCGACCTGTTCTTGCGTTGTATTATGCGGCCCGGGGTTGATCTTGCATACGCGAACTTGGAGTCAATTTTGCCGTCAACGTTACACCTGCAATCAAGCGGGACCATGCTAGTCCGTAGTACGTGCTGGATCACTCCTTGACAGCTGCGATGAAATGTGGGCTCTACGACGGTAGATAGTAAGGGCTTGCTTCAAGAAACCAGGCAGGCCACAAACACAGGACACCAAGAGCGGGCGATTGAAAATTTACCAACTGAGCTGCTGAGCTGTTAATAATGACGTAGATTGTACAGAAGAAAAGTCTTGCGAGTCCCTCAACCGGCCTACCGTCGAAGGTCGCGAGGCAGCGACCCCGATAACTCTGTCTATTGTGCTTCATTTCTTTTGGTTCTTTTTAGACACGTTCGGGGATATTTGTCGTCAGGGGTTAGAAGAACAAACTGACTGATGAGGGATGGGGTAATACACGAAGTGTGGGTTCAGTTGCTGAAGCGATGACTGAGCAAGCCTGGTATAGAATCGAACTGGGCACCTTCGCCATGTTATTCATCTCGAACGCGATCCTGGCGTCTAACCAACCACCGTGAAGGTCTCATCATTAATATTGGGGTATCAAATGACTTAGGTCTCATCGAAAGGGCTTCGGCGATGTTATAGAGCGTTGCAGTAGGACAAGCTCTAGGGCGCCGTTCTGACATTGTGAACATGGTCATCATAAGTGATGACATGCCAGGGGTACGAGGAAATATGAGGTGCGTGTAGACGACTTACAAACTTGCACTATATCAATGAAAGATCAAAGTAGTTGGATGTCATACCCCAAGATCCAACACCTACAAATACCAATCTCTCTCCCTCGAACCCGTCCTGACCTTGCCACCCACGTGGAGCAACAATAAGCGGACGATAGACATGACGAATTCGAATTTGACTGCAAGTTAGAAAAGTATACCTACTGAGATATGGTAATGGAAAAGGCATTAGCAACATACCTGTAGTGCGGTCGTGTTCGCTGATGAGCCAGAACGTATGGGAAAAAATGGATTGCATATTGGCTGCCGAGACAATCCATATGTCTTGGTGCACGTGTATAAGACAGGTGTGTGCGCGAGAACAACGATGTATAGTGCATCGATGCTTTCAATACACACGTAGAAGGTGTAGAAGGAGGCGGCATTGCAGGTCTATCGATAGAAAAATAAAAATTCGTATAGATTCACGACCTACTTTAACATCGTGCTGTCCAAATGAGAATAATGGCTATGGTGCTGCCATCTGCCGACCTGGTCAACGCTACCGCATCAGGTACCGATCGGATCACGTTCTTGTGGGGATTTGATGCGAAAAAAGCTCTCAAAAAGAGTGAGTCCAAATGTTGCTTCCATGTTGGTGTTTAACGCAGAGAATACCTGTATTTCCAGTGGGTTCCCAGTAAAAACACTCAGTGCTTGTGCGACGCTCGAGCTAAAGCTTGATCTCAATAGAGAACGTTAGAGAAGACATGCCCGTGGTTTAGCCAGAGGTGACCCATAGCGTCTGGGCGGTTCTACCGTAGAAGGTGACGGAAGATCCAAGCTCTCCCACCAGCATTGTCAACGTCGATACAACATCACACCACTCTTCAAGGAAAGTACAGGCGATGGAAAACTAAACGAACCCAAGAAATTGCCAGACACATACCTGAAAAATTTCGCGGATAGAAGAGCCTGTTAGCCGACACATAGCTCGGCCACGAAGTTGGGTGATCCCTCATGCCTCGATAGCTCCGCTGTCTAAGGCCAAGTTGGTGCTCGGAAGGAGCTTGGGGATCGCTAGAGACGCGATGGATATTCGGTGCCATCCCGGTGCCATTGGGTGACCGTCGTCGAAAGATAGGATTCGGACTCTTCACCGTCGGGACAAAGTGGTATCGAACGTAGCCGGTAATGAACATTGAAGCTGTCTTCCCGTAATAGTCCAGTGCTTGTACATACAGTAGTAGGGGAAACCTACAAGGTACTTTCAGCTTTCGTTAATTTTACCATCCTGTGTACAAACGTTTGCGGGAAATCCGGCACAATTGTCGGTGGGGTGTCGAGACTAAGTCGTAATTCGCGGATTGAGCAGTGTATGAGATAGAAAAGAGCAAGCCTAGACAATATGGATGCCGATTTGCGACACTATTAGTTGGGTTGGATCCGTGGCTTGCGACAGAATGATCCATTATGTATCATGCATCATGTGATATACTCCAAGCGTGAACATTTGAATGCCCGCGACGAGACTGAGAGCCATGTCGAGGAATTCATCATCCAATATTGATGATGCGGGAGAGGGGGGGGGGGGAGATTTGGTTTACTCGGTTTGACCAGCGCCACTCGACAGTGGGTTTTGCATGCCAATGATAGCGTCGTTGTAAAAGGATATCGATAAAATGCTTGCATGAATTTACGATCTGCCTTCAAAATCACGCTCTTTTTCGAGCGAGGATCATATCTACACCCCACTCAACCTCGACCTCCGCATCCGGCTCGACCATATCATACTCCTCATTTTCAGTCCCACTCTGTTTACCAGCAGCGCCGAGTGCCGCCCCTTTCCTCAAATTGTTCCAAAACCTCACCTCGACTGGTCCCTCGGGATTCGCTGCATCCTCTGGGTGCATTTCTCTGAACGCGTGTAGAGCGCTCCACGTCTCAAGGTATCCAAGTATATCCAACCACGTCATCATCTTACGCATGAGAACCGGCAAGGTTTCAGAGGGTGGAAGTTCCGGGAAATATGAACCTGATCACCAGAAGACATGATAGGGGATGCGGAAAGGTGAGGCTCAGTTAATGGGTAATGAGAGGATAAACAGACCTGTAAAATATACCCTGTCTAATGGCTCGAACACTTCCGTCGCTCCGGTGGTAGCGTCAAGCATGGAATTAGGCTCAGGAACATCCAAGAGATGCCTCCATAAGATGCTCCGACCAGGTTGTTGCCAATATCGTCCGATGGATGATGTCGTGTCATGGGATTCAGAATAGTGCAAAATAAGTGGAGTGAGATTAGGGTGAGTGGGAAAGCGGAACTCAGTGTAGACCTGTGCACACGTTGTATTGTATTAGCTTGAGTCAACGGTAGTCGATGCCAGGGGGAGAACATACCCAAGCAGCAACAGTCCCGCCTTTACGAAGTATCCTTGCGAGTTGGGGCCAAACCCTGGACCAATCAAACCAGTGACATGACTGGGCTACACGAAGCAATCACGACACGACGAGCATTGTTGAGTGATAGATCGGAGAGCCAAAGGGGAATGAACAGGAGGAAAGAGAGGAAAACGAACCTGCAATGACGAGATCGACGCTTTCGTCTGCGATAAAATCGAGTGACTCAGCAGGGGACTGAATGAACCCGATCGTCTGTCCTGGGCTCTGAGGAGGCCGGGAACCGACGTCAGATACGTCATCGACTTGCTGCAGCTGGGGCTGACGCTTCTTCAGAGCTTCGCGTGCTGATTGAATCATGTTCTCGCTGGGATCGATCCCGAGGACATGTGTGAAAGGCGTCAGTTCGAATGTTGCCTGGCCTATCCGTGGATGATAGCGGTTAGCGATTAATGCATACCAGGAATCCAGTAGCACCCCAGTCAATACCCCTACCCAGAGTATGGAAGAACGAGCGAAACGCACCCGTTCCACAACCCAAATCCACTGCCCGCCCCCACCTTGCGTTTGCGTTTGCATCCGTCTTCAGGGATTGCGAAGAGGGCCGATATCGATGGCGATGGAAGTCGAAGATATAATTGTACAGGGAACGGGGGTACGTTGGGCGTGAGGAAGCGTAGGAGAGAGCGTCAAAGGTGGTTTTGCTGAAGGTGGCCATCGTTGGCGTGGGTGTCTGTCCTGTGCGTTCCCGGTGTTGGTATCACTATGGGCAGATGCGAACTGTCGGTGTCGTGGCGCACACGGTAGCTGTGAGAGCCAGCCGGCGATCATTTTGAAGCCGTTCCTGTTGACCGTGAGCCCATAAATCTTCGGAGTTCGCGGAGGGAGAAGCTGGTGGGCGAGTACTGTGGGCACAGCCACCTGCAAATTTTCCGGAATAGACTGACATCCTTACGCCAACCTTCCCTAAGATGTACTTGCCGTGCGTTCCATTCTATCGACAGATATAATCACGGGTATGTCGCCAACACCTTGACGACCAATCCAGCGGACATATCCATACTCCTCTCATTTGTAACCAAATTTGTCATTTCCACCATCTGTCCTTCGTACTCAACATAATGCAATATTGGGGAGTGTTTAAAGGTGAGAGACTGGCCTCTGAAGATGTTGGATTTGACGCCTCCGGGTGCGACATGCGTGTCTTTGATACCAAGAGGCTGGAGCTCCATCGAGAGCCCTTTAGCGATGCTGTGGAGTGCAACTTTAGAAGCGTAGAAGGGCGTTCCCCCGGGTGCGGTTCCGGCATTGTGGACACTGTCGTCATCAGTAGTGATCTGCGAGTGGGACAGAGTTAGTGCGAAGTATATGGAGACGACTTACACCATGCCAGCGACAAACCGATATTGACGATGAGACCTTTGCGCAGTCATAGCCGGTAAGGTGTGGAGCTCGAATACATTCCGGATTTCCTCAATTGTCCCTTCAACAGCTGGACCTGCAATGTGCACACTATCCTATTTTCCCAGTCATGCACACTTCCGGCTCATTGGCGACAAATGTCTACGAACTTCCAAACAAAAAGGAAAAAGGGAAGCAGAAAAAATAATACCGTCGTCGTCACGATGTCGACCGGCCAAAAGTGTGGGTAATGTGAAGACCGATACAGCGCCGTCGAGTGGTGCAACAGATCATCATCTACTGTGAACGATTCTTGTTCGGAGTTGACTAGGACTAGCGTAACTGAGGAGAAATGACATGGACATTGCCTTGGGTAACACCTAATAGGGTGACATTACATGTACATAGAAGAATTCAGTCGTCGTCGGGTTTACAGGGTAACCATACACCAGAGGAGCGATCTCGTCATGTGGGGGAGCAAATGGCATACTGTAATGCAGTCCAGTCTCTCACGTACAAGCCATCCACGCCTCGATCTTGGCTCGTAACATGAATAAATCGTTGAAGGTCCAGTGAGGACTTGATTCTTATGTGGCAGAACCAGGAGTTCCGCGGAAAACATCCGTCCCTCGCTTTCGTTTCAGCGCGTGTCTAGTGCTTCGTTACACTGGGCGGCCAGTTCAGCCAGTTCTCTGAGTAATAACTGATACTTCGAGACTCCATGTGCTGCGTCATCCATCATCCTGGATTGGTGAAAATGCGCTCAGTAATTGAGTTGTTACAGCGCGTGAGAATGCTCACCGTTGCACTGGATCCAGGCTATCATATAGGATATAATCAATCGCTTTCTTGAAAACCCATTCAATGCCGAAGAGATGCTAGTAAAAGTATTACGGACTCAGTTCTTGGATGCAGAAAGAAACTTACACGGACTCGAGACTGACGTGTGTCCTCCACAGCATCATCATTGATGAACCGATCAGCAGCCTCCAAACCATGTCAGTTAGCATCAGATGGGAATTTACATGCTTCTCTTAGCACTTGCGCAGTTTCGGATGCGACTCCACGCCAACACCTTTGTAAGATCTAGTGTTCGCCTACCTTCAGCTAGCCAGCCAGCAATAACAGTGACCAGAAGTCACCTTTCCTGCAATATCTTCAACCGGTGTCCGCCTTTCATGCCCATCAATGGTCCCAATAAGCATCTCTCGCCACTTCCTGATTTGCTCTACCTCCGAGAGAAATTCACGTCTGGAAAACATTATGGGTACATGACACTGAGTGAGTGGCATGGCATGCAGTTACCTATCAAACACAGTGTCTAGACTGTGAAGGCTTGCAACCAGTGAGCAGTAGAGTTGAAGACGTGGTGTTACCTTACCTACATTCCCACCCCCCGTATACAATAGCGACGACTTGAAAAACCTTCACATCATGTAATGAACACCGCTTGCCTTAAGTTGCGAATAGGAATAGACTCACCTTAGCAGCGAAGGGTGCTGAGCTCAATTCCATCACATTTTTCCACAATTTCGCCCGGCCAATATAGTTAGAGACAACCTGTGAGTCAGAGCCAACCTCCGACTCAAATTCAGGGTTTAGTCGGATGTCGAACGCCCAGTCATTAATCTCCGCTAAGAAAACAACCAATGTGTTGATACGGTGTGTCTGCACTATTACAGTCAGTTCTCCGCATTCAGACGTATCCTGAGCTGGGGCACTACCTGAAGGGCCTATATGTATTGATGAACACATCTCATTGTCACTACTCACCCTTATCTATTCTAGTATTGGATTCAGCATGGGTTTCCGTCTCCATTATTGAGGGAAATTCGTTAAAGAATCCCATCCTCCCGATCTGGAGTATCCTGGTAGACGACGTGAGGCCACACAATCAATACGAACAAAGAGAAAATGCACACAAAGTTGTTGAAATTGCTGCCTCCAAATACGTCTACAAAGAATTCAGCAGCAGCCTCGACAGCAACCGTCTCGCCGAAATGCTTTGGCTCGTCCAACTTGCCCACCAGAAGAGATACTCACAAGCTGACAGATTGAAAAGGAGTTAATAAGAGACTTGCCCATCTAACTAGAACAGAGAAATTATCTCTATGTGTTAAGGTTCATTGATCTCAGCGTCAACGAACATGTATTGATGTACTCACAGGATTCTGAAAAGCATCCTCATAACCTCTCTATCTGAATCCATTTGACGCCAAGCCAGGGGCATCATCACCGAGCATAAATGAGTAGAGGTGTCGAGGGTCTGCCATGTTTCCGGATCTAATGTGCCACTGGACGGGGAGAAACGTCTCGGAACAAGGCGAAGGTAATCTGAGCAGCTTGTAATAGTTGTCACTAGGAGTCTACCTGCAAGACGGGAGGACAATGCTCTCAGCAAAGAGACAAACCAATGGTTGGCGGGGAGTGACCAGCTGGTCACATTATACAGGGCAATGCGATCATCAAAGATCAAGTGTTTCGGATCGTCTTGCACTGGCATGACCACAATTCAACTCTTCCCGATGCTGAGCCATGTATGACACGGACGTCATCCTCTACGGGATCAAGTGCAAGACCTGTAGCGAGTTCGATGATATCTCCGCCTTGGGGGGCGCTGCCATAGTCACCCAACTGTTGCAATTAGATATCACAGTACATGTAATAGATGTTGATCTCACCTTCAGTTCTGATTCCATCAGCGACAAGGGCATGTATGAGGATTTTACCATTGAGCTACGCGTGAGGCAATTCCACTTCACACCAGGCACATGAGGAGCGTCCGCGAGCTATGAAGATGTAACCATTAGGGAATATGATATTTGGAGGTTCAACATAGAAGCACACCAACATCAGAAGCTACGTGGTCCTCGCGCGTACAACCAGAGCATTTGGCGATATCGATTGTAACTGTGCAGCCCAGCGAGTGGTACGGGCTGATATATGACGCTTCATGGACTACCTTTGCACCCTGAATAGATCGAATGTGTTGCATCAAGTGCCATGGTTCCTCCACTCCTTGTTGAACAGTCTTTCCAAGGCCCCTGACCGAAGGAACGCCACCTTCTGCTGAAATTTTTCGGGGGACAAGAGGGCAGATACCGAGCGTTCGCCCCCGCCGTAACTGAGCAGTACCAGAAAACGAATGTCATCCTTCCTACGGACATAAGCAATCGCAGCGAAGTCCTTGTGACTAGAGAGGGTGATCGAACGATCCTTCACTTCTACATCCTCGGGCAGGATATGGTCCCGGACAAAGCCATCGTGGCAAAGTGTTTGGTCATGTAGCTCAAAGGTGAATGTAGACGAATACTTGGCTGCTTTATAAGGAAGAACGTGCTGCTTGAATTCCATTTCCTGGAGCGCCTCGGAATGCCAAAATTTCTGAAATAGGTGGACTCGAAAAGTACTTGGTGTACAGTGATCCCCGTGAAGTTGGATAGCTCACAGCATGCCAACCTGACCTCGCAGATTGGTCCAAGGTTTCCAGCGGGCAACCATATTTCAAGTCATTATTAGTAGTGGACATCTGCAATCATTCGGCAGGATGCTTGCGGAGCTATTCTTCAGGGATGTCTTTCCTGAAGATACTGATGAATGCACTGGGTGCCGATGAAACGATGCCTTGGCAATCACTGAAGCAGCTCGGGTCATCTGCTAAGAAGCTACCGGAACACCCAGACTTTCGTGTGTGGCCCCACGCAAAGATGCTCTGGTCGTTGGACGTGCAAATGATTTCAAGCTGCAAACGACGAAATGCACGTCTCCCCTCTCCGTACAGCGTTGGCATGTGCACGCCGAAGAGCCCCAATAGCGAATACGCTCGATCCTCCTCGCGTGTCGTTGTAGGGTCAGCAGCCCAAGACATAATCTGGGTTACGCTGGGACGTGCAAGATCCAATCCTTCCTCCAAGACTTGCTCTGGGATTCGTGTGATGCGACTGGAGTGTCTGCGAGCTCTGCTTTGTTGCTAATCCATTCCCACTCCTGGTTAAGGAAATGAACATCCTTCGGCGCAACAAGTTCTTGAAGTGTTCAGCCTCGCGAAAACCACTTTGAAATTGCCGTCGACTCTTCCTCATTCGTCCAAGGGTTGCCAGTGACATCATGTAGGTAGGCGTAACATCGCTCCGCATTTTCGTACCACCGGTACACGGGGTTGATTGCTTCTGATACCTCGGAGCTGCTTTTTTTTATCGATGTAGCAAGTGTCGATCCACACCCACTCCAGACCATCTTTCTGAGCTTCTCAGCAGGTGTCGTTTATCTTCTTGTACCCGGTACGCCCTCTGATTCCAGTCCTCTTCCCTTGGCTCATAGTCACGAATTGCTCCATCTCCTAGAAAAACACTTCTTTCTCGTTCTGCTCCACCACGCCCCAGCAATGCGATAGAATGCCATATTCTTTTTCGGTGAGGGCGGGGCCATAAAACTCTCCGAAGACTTCGGTTGCAGTGTCAACCTCCTTCCCTTCGTCGATGCTCATCTCAATGTCGAGTATAGCAGCAACGTCAATAAGTCGCATCGTGTAGCTATAACTGGTGAGTGAATCCATACTGCAAAGATCAAAACCTCGTACTCAACAAGTCTCGATGTGTGGTCAGGGTCCAAGATACGTGTTCCCGTCACCCGAGGTGGTGTATGATGAATACGACCATCTTCTCACAATAGGCGCCTCCCGGCACGTTTGTTGACTTCAGCAAGCTTGAGGGTAGGTTTTCGATCAACCAAGAAGTTAGGTGCATGAGACCTCGGGTGGGTGAGTGCAGAGTTGATTAATATTGATCATGATGAGACTTTCTGATGAGTCTCTGCACGAATGGTTTGCAGGAGGTCCACGCAGGTTGGAGTCAGCACCAACGCGAGACGGGTTGTTATTCCGCAGAGCTGGCGGCGTGTGAAGAGAATGGATCCATCACGTGATTCACCCGATATGATATGGTGCGTGCGCGTGAACGCCCGCAGCAAGACTGCAAACCATGTCGAGCAATTCAACACCCAAGGTGGTCCTCGTGACGGGGTGTACGACGGGGGGTATCGGATTTCATCTGTACGTCTGTGTCTAAGATTCGTCTTGGCTTATTCGGTTTGGCCGTCGCCAAATTTTTCCTGCATTCTGGATCTTGCGCTGGCGTTGTACTATATGGTCTAGTCGTTCCCACTAACTAACAAAAACTACTAGTTGCGAAGAATTTGCAGAAAAAGGATGCATTGTCTACGCGACGTCCCGCAGGCTCGAGACTATGGAGGGTTTCCAACACGATACCATCCGCACGATGGCTTTGGACGTCACCAAGGAGGAGGATATTAGCGCCGCGGTGCAGAAGATATTAGAGGAACAGGGGAAGATAGATATTGTCGTGAATAATGCGGGTGCATTAGCTATAGGTGCGTATGGTTATAGTTGTCTTTCAGTTTTCTGTTGGGTCATTGCACGTACGCTCGAAGAGTGGATAGCTAATACGATATATGTGCCATGTACCAGGCCCAGTTGCCGAGGCAACGATTGAGCAAATCCGAAACGCGTTCGAACTCAACACCTTCGCCGCTCTCCGCGTCACCAACGCTATTGTGCCGTCTATGATCAAACGACGTGAAGGTCTCATCATCAACGTTGGGTCTATCGCTGGTATAGTGTAAGTCTCTTTCCACGGTACACCAGATACTGGAAAGTCATGACCGAGGGCAATGATCCACGATACCAGCACGACGCCATGGAATACTCTGTACTGCGCTGCCAAAGCTGCGCTCCACACCATTACCGAGGGCCTTGATATGGAGCTCAAACCGTTCGGTATAAAAGTGATGCTCGTCGTACCGGGCGGCGTCAAATCCAACATCTCTAAAAACCAAGCTCTCACGTTCAAGTTACCCCCGACCTCGCACTACGTCGAGTATGAAGACCGACTAATAGAGAGAATGAACCTGGCTGCGCATAAGGATAGTATGCCTACCGACGCGTTTGCCAGAGAGGTCGTGGCGAAGGCATTGGTACCGTGCCCACCTCCGTATCTGTCCCTTGGGTGGAATACCTGGAAGGTATACATTTCGCAGTGGTTGCCGAGACAGTACGTCCTCGGACAGATGTATAAGGCGATGGTGTGGAAGAACAAATCAACGTGATGTGTTGATGCTCGACGAGGGCTTCGTGGGTCACATGGAGTCCTGGTAGGCTTTGCAGGCGAGTGATAGCATCGTCGTAATAGGATATCGATGAGAAATTCTTGTACGAATTCACGACCTACCTTCAATATCACACTTTTTCGAGAGACTCGATCTTGGCCGTATCATACTCATTTTTCGCCACCGGGCGTGATCAAGCGTAATCTCAGTGGTACAGATATTCGTATCTTCTCTTGTGATACGCAAGGGCTTCCTCCCCCCGAAATTGGAACATGGATACGATCACGAGGGTGCGAATACCCTGAATCTGCACATGCTGTGTGGTCATTTCGAGTCACCACGTTATGATCTGCGATTTCCAAAGAGTGACCGTAGGTTCAACGGCGTTCCGCTTTGAAGTGTTTATATAAAAGAGAAGAGATCGTAATACCTGCAGCCTAACGACGAACCCCCATGTCTTACCGCCTGAGAACGACAGCTCCCAGCTACCCGCCTCCTCCTAATGACAGTTTCCTCATGAAAGGCTTAGAAGGACCGGTTGAGACTCTTTCTCCCAGTCCAGCAGTCCGTTTTTCCAGCAGGGTACAGCTACGCAATGTCAAATCGATTGCTTCCTACTCGTGGATCAACGGAGTAACACCTAGCATTGCCGTTCCAGGTGAGCCCAGCTGGTAGGAGATCCCTCAATAGCGCTCACACATTAACGTATACTAGGATATCCACGAATATGGAAGAACACCACCGTTACGAACGTTCCTGCTGACTCTGGTTTCTGTTATCTCGATCACAATGCATTGTTCATGGGTCATCGTTCCCCTCTCATACCCATATTTGCTGCCGTCGACTCACTCCGTGACGACTTCCAGTACCGTGACCTAGATCTTATCACGGACAGGAATAGCTTGCGCAAATTGTTGCGTTGCATCGACCAACAGCATGACAAGACCTTCCGCATTGATCTCGACTTGCTAGGGAAGACGTGTCTCCTTACACGCTGTGAAGAAACCCTCACGGATACTATCAAAGAATTCCACGGATTCGGCGTCGAGTACGAACGAGCCGCAACTAAACCACGCCGCGGCTCCGAAGAGGAGACGAGCCACCATCGCATCATCAGCTATGTAAGTCACCGCAAACCTGACCAGTCAACTCCATCACTCAGCATACTGCTAGAATTTTGGGGGACTGAAAATATTGCTCCGTTTCGCGATTGATGCCTGTGCGGAGCCGGAGAGCGAGGATGATTCTTTCCTCGCCTCCTTCTCCTCACTGAGTATCGGGGAAAGAGGACCGTCCACACTCTCTGATGGCCTAGCCTACTCCAGCCGTTTCGGAATGAAAGTAAAGCTAACTTCACCTCGCTCGGTCCTTCCTCAGTCAAGCGTAATCGAGATCAAGACTAGAGCGGCGCGCAGGGAAGTGGACTGGAAAGAAAGCTATCCCCAGTTATACCTGTCACAGACACCTTACTTGTACTTGGCGAGGTACACACGTGGCACATTTGGTCCAGTGGAGAAGGTTCATATTAATAGCCAGGAGATGGCTTCCCACGCTAGGGAGGCTGAAGCTGCGATGGCTAAATTGGAAGCACTTTTGAGTGCCCTTCTGAAGGCCGTACGAAAGTATGGTGAGGGAGTGCCACTAAGCTTGGTGTATCGTGCAGGAAAGTTGCAGTTGTATAAGCGCAAAGAGGGGACTGGAGAGCCTTTCGGGAAGGACATTTCGAGCAAATTCCAACATGCAACTGTTATCTAACGAACTTGTTAACAACAGTAGGAAAGGATGTCGGCTGAGGCAATGCAAGAATGGGATGATAAAAAGCATTGGCAGGTTTCGAATGTCGCCATGACATCACGATTTGTATGTACTAGTATGTAGTGTTTCTGTCACTTGTCCGGGCATCCTTACGGTGCTTTCTGGTTCGGAGCTGCTCCATGTAAACCGAGTTGTACTTCGCGCTGCATTGTCCATCGCCGTTGTAATTTGAAAATTATCGAACGAGTTAGTCCTGGTGTTTCAGAATGTTGTGACGGAGTGAAGAACCCACTGCGAAGTCCGGATGATGCGTTGATGCTGAGCGCTGGACGAGGGCTTTGTGGTTCTTACGCAGATAGGATATCTGTGTGGATTCACGACTTCCATTCGATATCATACCTTTTCCTAACCAGGATCATAGGGTTACCTACAGGACCAGCGGAGGATCCGCTCTCCTCAGAAAACGGGTGAGCACCCGTTGGTGACTCACCTGCTCCCTCAGGCAGTACATGATATGTAGACATCCGGGAGTGCTGTCGGTGTGAACTGTGGGCAGACCAAAAGATAGTCATTGGTTACTAATGATCAGCGTTGCAGGAAAACGTTGAACGTGGTGTGCTCACCGTGCAAGATAAACTCTTTTTTGCGAGTATGTTATTTACGTTCCCTACTGTAATAAGCTGGTGTGCTTCTTGGGCACCATCAACCGGGAACTCACCAGAAAGCATATGCCCGACGTCGTGTGCTTGTGCACCAGAATCCGGATGATTGTTAGAAGAAGTCGATGTCCTATTATGGTACTGATGAATCCTGGCATCGTTGTGGCAACCTGGCGTCCACAACGCGCGCGTCTCATTCAACAATGGATAGGTACGCCTGAATGCGTTTGGTACGGAAATGCAGGTTAGGAAAGAAGAAAGAAAAACAAAACACATTGGGGATGAAAATGAACCCCCTTGCATCGAGTGCTGCCCAAAACATGTTCCTGAGAGTCGATGTCAGTTCTAAGATGTGTGGTTGAGGTACACATACGAGCTTAGCACTCCAACTAGCAGCCACCGAGAGGCGACTGGTTTTCTCTGGTTCACATAGGGGCACAAGGGGAGTAGAGTCGTCACTGCATAACTGATTACAGGGCCCAGGGTACTTTAGCCACGACCGATGCACATCTAGCGACCAGCCGCCTCCTTCTCACCTCCGTTACGCTACGAGACTCGGACAGGCAAAAACTACTGCCTTGGTCGCAAGAACGGCAAGCAGCAATCCGATGCAACCATTCTTAGGGGGTCAAGTTGGGGGCTAGTTCATATTTGAAAGCAATAAGGGCTGCCATAACGAAGGCACGCGTAGCGGCCCCAATTGCAATGTGGGTCCGACAGTAGTTGGATCGAGTCTAAGTCATGCTGGCTATTAAAAGATAAGTACTCCACCCTTCACACAAACACAAACTGAACCATTGAAGAGATACTCGGTGAAAATCTGCAATGGATTGGTTACAGTCGTTCACATCGTCTTTGCTGCGAGTTTCTTATGTTCCTCTTGTCTGAAGAGCAAGGACGACTCAAACTTCAGTGCAAGCCGACCTTCGGTAAGTTCGCCGAACCCGGACGGCGTCGACCGTACGAGTCTGTTGGAGTAATACACGACGAATAACTTCACACCAACAGGCTCTCCGTTGTCACCACGTGATAATTTTCGGTCTTCGCCTCTCATTTCAGCGCGCCCACACCGCCTCGCCAGATTCCTGTTTGTAATAAAGTTTGTTCTCTCTTCCTCTTTTTGCGCAGTATTGCCGCATACTCTCCAAACGGACGGACGGACCCCCCTGTTCAGTCGTACCCGGAACCGTACTAGAAACCACTACACCCACCGGCTATCCGCACCGCTCCAACATGTGTACCCCGGTCGAACGACACAATACGCTCCCCTAGTGGTTGGGACCCCGAAATTCGAACAAGGATAACATCGCGAGGGTACCTCAAATCCTCACGCGCTGATACTTGGCTGATACTATGGTCATCCTTGGAATCTTTGATTACATCCAGCAACTGTTGCATTCTAGGACAGTACCACTCCCGGCATCATAATCTGCGATTTTCAAAAAGTGACCGTAGGTTCAATGGCGTTCCGCTTTGAAGTATGTTACATAAATGAACAGAGACCCCGTGTCTTATAGAACAGCAGTTCGGGCCTCTTACCCACCTCCTGATAATGACGGTTTTCTCTTGAAAGACTTGGAAGGACCAGCTGAAACTCTTGCTCCCAAGCCAGCCAGTTCGTGCTTCTAGCGAGCTACAACTACGCAATGTCAAGCGGATTACCTCCTACTCTTGGGTCTGGGCACCAACACCTAGCATTGCCGTTCCAGGTTAGCCAAGTTGGTTAAAAAGGATCAAAGTTAGTAACTTACATTATGCATTACAAGGTTATCCGTGCATATGGAGGACGATCACTGTTAAGACCGTTCCCGCTGACGATTGCGTCGATTGCGATGTATCATTCATGGGCCATCGTTCGCCTCTGATACCCATATTTGCTGCTGTCGATTTACTGCTCGACGACTTGCAGTATCATGACTCCGACCTCGTAACGGACGAGAATAACTTGCGCGAGTTGCTACGTTGCATCGACCGACGGCATGACAAGTCCTTCTGCATTGATCTCGACTTGTTAGGGAAGACGTGTCTCTTTTCGTGCCTTATACGCCACGAAGAAGCCTCTATCAAAGAATTCCGAGGATATGGCCACGAGTGTGAGGTAGGTGCAACTAAACCACGTCGTGGCTCTGAAGACGGAATAAGTCACCATCGCGTCATCAGCTACGTAAGTCACTGTAATCACGCCCAGCCCACTATGTTACACAGCATACTGGTTAGGATTTCGGAGGGCTCAAAGTATTGCTTCGTTGCGAGGATGATTCCTTCCCTGCCTCCTTATTCGCACTAAGCATCGGAACGAAGGCAGCGTCAACACTAATGATTCTGCCTACTTCAGCCGTTTCGAGATGAAAGTAAAGCTGACCTCGCTTCGCTCGGTCCTTCCTCAGTCAAGTATGATCGAGATCAAGACAAGAGCGGCACGCAGGCAACTGGACTGTAAAGAAGTCTACGTCCAGTTATACCTGTCACAAACACCTTACTTTTACTTGGAAAAGCACACGCGTGGCAATAGCTAGGAGAAGGCATCCTACGTTATGGAGGCCGAAGTTGCAATGGCTAAATTGGAGGCACTTCTGAGTGCCATTCTAAAAGTCGTAAGTATTGGCGAGGGAGTATCCCTAAGCGCAGAGAGGGGACTAGACAGCCTTTCGGGAAGGACGTTTAGAACAAGTTCCAACGTGTAGTTTCTATCTGGCAAATTTGTTAACAGTAGGATGGAAGGATGGAGGTCAACGGAGGCAATGGGATGATGAAAGTAATGGTGAATTTCGAATGCCGTTATGCCATCACGGTCTGTGTGTACCAGTAGTGTTGTCTGTGATCTATCAAGACATCCTAATTGTGCTTTTCGGTGCGGTGCTGCTCCACGTAAACCGAATTACATTTCGCACTGCGATGTCCACTAGAACGTGGCCGGCGCCGCCGGCAGGCACCTTGTTCACCATGCCGGAGCGCAGTCACGACCGCTGGGTTTTGCCGTGCGGAGTCAATTGACAAGCAAATGCGCGGATGTCGAAAAAAGCGTCTCATTTTCGGGCTGGAGTGACCTTGTAAACAAGGTGATCACCATTGTATGTTGAACATTATCAAATAAGCCAGTCCTGATGTTGAACCTACTGCGGAAGATAAGACGTCGGACCGATCGGTGGTACAAAATCGTCGTATATTGAAGTCTTTGCATTGACGTCGCCGAAAACTAACGCCTAGTCGCGAGATTTATTAGGACCAGTATGACACGCAATCGCAAAGTGAGAGAGCGAAACACCCGATAGAGCAACATAGTCATTACAATCCATGTGCCAGACACCGGACAGACACTAATCCACATACGATCCACGAGTCCTGTCCATCGGGAACCCCCTCTGAAGCTGTTTGCATTGCGATGAAATTCCTATTTTCGACAACGAGTTAGGTCAACAATGGGGCTTGTCCATCAAGTATTATCGTCGCGAATGTCCTCTGCAGGGACGTAAATTCAACATCTCCCAAAAAATTAACTTCTCACCAACTCCCATTCACCTCGCATTGCATCGAACATGAGCAGGTAGTAGAGAGGATGAATTTGGTTGCGAATAAGGATAGAATGCTTACTAAGGGGCTCGCAAGAGGAGTTGCGGAGTGGATACTGACTACGTGCTCACCGCACTACTTGTTGATAGGTGGAACACGTGAAACGGTGTGGATCTTTGGAAGTGGTTCCGTGGCAGTATGTCCTATGCATTAATGGGATGCTGTAGAACATAAGGACGTGTGACATGCCGACACTTCGATGGATGAGTTTCGTGATTCGCATTGCAAGAATATTCCGATAGTAGCGAAATCACGCCCCCTCAGTATCATGAAACTTGGGAGGCGGAACTTAGAGTAGGTCTGCGCACTGTTTTAAGCGTCGGTTTGTGTCACTGCGGATAGGCGTCCGGCGCGCAGGGAAGGAAAGAAGGACGTACCCAAAACGCAGTGCTCCCGTCTGTGCTTGCAAGTCAAGGGTCACACCCCGGACAGATCGAAAAGTAGTGATGTGATTTGGCTCGCTTCACATTGAACATTGCTGAGTGGTGGATCTGGAAGAGAGGAAAACGTACCTACAATCACAACGCCGATGCTTTTCCATGCGATAAAAGGGAGGACCCAATGGCAGGGGGATGGATGGATTCGACTCTTTGTCTTTGTCTCTAAACCCTGGCCTTACTTCGAGATGAAGGTTGAGAATCGACATATCGAGTTGCTGCGTGCTGAATGCACATGAGTCGTGAAAAGTACGAGTCCGAATATTGCTTTACCTACCCCACCAACGCTAACGATTGAAATGATGATCCATTCCGGTTTGATTCCGGTAATATCTTGCCCAGGAGTGGAAGAAGGAAAGAAACGCACGCATTTCGCACCCCACATGTATTGCTCGCCCCCACCTTGTATTCGCATCTGACCGAGGGATACACGAGAAGGGTGTCAATGTCAACACCGATGAAAATCAAAGATACAATGAATATGGTGGACATGAAGGTAGTATTGCCGGTTACGGCCGGGTATCACCATAGTGCTTGCCTTGCGGCTGGTGATGGAGTCGGCGCAAGGTGTGTAGGTGAAGGTACATGTTGTGGCCAACTTCCGGGGATGCATCCTCTGTTCAGTCCTGGGGTTTTCCTCGTACCAGCAAAGTGTTACATGTTGCAATTTGTGTTCCCAGTCAGTATGTTCTCACTTCTCAGGGTCACCTTGGACTCCTTTCAAGTTCCTCCGCACCACCACAGCCTCAAACTCAATATGCCCTCGGCCCTAACGCGATCCTAATCTCGAAATGGAACAAGGATAAGAATCGAAATACGATCAGGAGAGTACATCTGCACAGGTTGCGCAGTCATTTTTGGGATCCTTGATTGCACCCAGTCATTCTTCCGTCCTAGGACCTCCGCAGCACCATGATCTGCGATTTACAAAATGCGACAGTTAGGTTCAACTTTTGGCACTATAAAGCGAGACATTATGGTGCGCGCGCTACCGCCAAACACCTCTGCTAGCACCATGTCTTACAGAACGACATTTGCCACCTACCCATCTCTTGCTAATGATGATTTCCTCCTGAAGGGCCTGGATCCAGGGCCTGTTGAAACCTTTTCTCCCGGTACCTCAGCCCATGTTCCTAGCAGGGTACAGCTACGCAATGTCAAGCCGATCGCCTCCTATTCGTGGGTCGACGGGACAACACCTAGTATCGCCGTTCCAGGTGGGGAAAGTTAGTAGAAGTTTATGTATTAACGCTTACATAGCGCGTACTAGGATATCCACGAATATGGAAGAACACCACCGTTACAACCGTTCCGGCCGACTCGGGTATCCATTATGTCAATCACAACGCGTTGCGCATGGGGCATCACTCCCTTTTCATACCCATATTTGCTGCCATCGACTCACTGAATGACGACTTCCAGTACCGTGACGTAGACCTCATCACGGACAGGAGTAACCTACGCAAATTGTTACGTTGCGTCGACCAACAACATCACAAGACCTTTCGCATTGACCTTGACTTGCTAGGGAATGCATGTCTCCTTACATGCTGTGAAGAAGCCTGGGTAGTGACTATTGATAAATTCTGTGGATACGGCCACGAGTACGAGCTAGCTGCAACCAAACCACGACGTGGTTCCGAGGACAACATAAGTCACCATTGCATCATTACCTACGTAGGTCACTGCGAACATGACACCTCAATAACTCCGTCACTCACCATACCGCTAGGATTTCGGGGGAATCAAAGTACTGCTTCGTTACGAAGTTGATGCCTGTGTGGAGTTGGAAAGCGAGCATGACTATCTCTTTGCCTCCTCCGCAATGAGCGTCGAGACGAGAGAAACATCAGCATTCCCTGATGATTCGGCTTACTCCAGCCAGTTTGGGATGAAAATAAAGTTGACTTCACCTCGCTCGGTCCTTCCTCAGTCGAGCGTAATCGAGATCAAGACGAGATCAGCACGCAGAGAACTGGACTGGAAAGAAGTCTACCCTCAGTTGTACCTGTCGCAAACACCTTACTTGTATTTGGCAAAGCACACACGTGGCACGTTTGGTCCAGTAGAGAAGGTGCAGATCAATAGCCAGGGGATGATAGCCCACACTAGGGAAGCTGAGGCTACGATGGCTAAATTGGAGGCACTTCTGAATGCTATTCTGAAGGCCGTACGTAAACATGGCGAGGGAGTGCCACTAACATTGGTGTATCGGGCAGGGAAGTTGCAATTGTATACACGCAAGGCAGGGACTGGACAATCTTTCGGGAAGGACATTTTGAGCAAGTTTCAACGTGCAGCACCTACATGATGGATTTGTTGAGTGGGAGGAAAAGGTGGAGTTCGGTGGAAGCATCGCGAGAATGGCTTGATAGAAGGAGCAATGGCGAGTTATGTATGTTGAGACAACACCACGCTTATATGCTGCTAGCATTTTCTGTCATTCGTCGATTTGATGCTGCCGCGCCCACTCCCATTGTACGTTGAACGTTTTTGAAAAAGTAGTCCTGACCCGCGTCAAGTCCAGGTCAGAATATGTGGTAAACTGAAGGCACAGCTCGTACATACAGTACTATTGTTTGACCAGAGCTGCAAAATATGCAGTGCGACACCCTACACCGCAATCTAAGCCGTGGAGTCGTACACAGAGCATGTCATACAATAGCCCAAGATGACTGGGTACTTTTTTAAAAGATAAATTACATCTGTATGGTAGCAGGAACCCATTTACTGCTCGAGAGAGGCGGTTTTCAGAGTAACTCGCCAGGACTGAGGTCAGATCACATCAGATGAATATACAGGCTGTCAGAGGGCCCCTCAGACACTTCCCTACCCTCTAAAAAATTTCAGACAATCAAAAGAGAATTTTAGTTGCGATCATTGTTGCAATGAAGTGATGCAGTAGCGGCGAAGTGAGCATCAGGAGTCACAAGATCTGTAGGTTATCGTTATTATCAAACCTGTCGGAGTAGCAATGTATCATTTTGGGGCCATAAATCGGCATCACTCTGGCAGCTCCATCAACTGTTTTAATTTCTATCAGAAATTTCTATGTACATGGTCCCCCACCTGACCATGCAATTTTTTTAATTACATTTTTAGACATGTGGTTGTGTAGGTCTGAGACGGGGGCGTTTTGATCTTGTAACTCCGGTCAAACGATGGTGGCTAACATGTGCATGGGTAGAAAAATCACCTTCTCCCTCAGCCGTGGGAAGCGTGTCCAACACCAGGAGTTCACTGACTACTTAGGTTCCCAGAGAATGAGAGGGTGATGTCGAAGAGGTTATGATCTTACTTACGAGAAAAGATCTTTCTCGTCCTGATGACCATCGGTGTTCAATACGCGACGTATCAAAAGGCGTTGACTTCCGTGTAATTTCGGAGAGCCTACATGAAAAACGCTGATTGACATTCAAAGCTAACGCCTGGTCATCACGGAGGAATGTGACCAGTTCCCCGGACATCATGAACTTTCTCAACAAAGAGCCCGAGGGACCTCCGCACGGATGGATATTACTCATGAAAATGGGTTTAAAAATGCACAGAAATATATGACAATGCGGTCGTGCGTGTTGATGGCCGTTTAATGCTCGGTGCGGTAGTGGCTGCTGAAGGAGTACTGGAGGAAAGATTAGTGGAGGCTTGATCCCAAATGTGGAGAAGAAGGTTTTCCACAGCTGAAGCCTATCTGCGGGCGACTATGTAGTTCTGAGGCTATCCTCTGAGGGTTGACGGAGTTTGGAATGCCATCAGCTGTTCTGCGTGCACAAGATTGGATGAAGGTATAGCACATTCTCTGGTCCAGGATTGTAATGAAGCTAGTCACTCTCTGCGTCGTGAGCTCAGTGGTGGAAGAGATTGCGTAGACACATGCGGCGGGGGTTCAAGCAATGGAGTAAGGCCATTTGATCAGGGCGTTCCACATTTGTTCCTGTGATGGCACTAGCAAACGCTAGCCATTTATAACTAATGGGAGAGTAGGGTAAGTGAGGTTCCTACTCATTATCTGGGCAATCTGGGTGGCTTGCGAGAACTTCGGTATATTGGGTGGTGAGATGATTCTCTAGCCTTGGGTTTGAAAGGGGATTACAAACTCGCCCCCTGCGAGAACGCATGCACATGAGCGACTCACGCGTTCGGAGTCTATATTTGCAGTATTTCAACAGGTTGCAAAGAATCACAGCAGTGCCACAAAATCAAATGGACATCGTCAATTGAACTTACCGTCTCGTGAAAGACTCCGGGGTGGCATACAGATTTGAAATTGCCAAATGGTGAGGTCAGCTGGTCCTAAAAACGCTGCGCTCGGGTCGCAACACTGGGCAAGGGTAACAGCTGCGACATATCCTGATTCTCTCGGCAGCAGCTATCTTGACGTGACCGCTATCTCAATACGTTTTCTTCCCTTGCGAGCAGTGTTTATCTTGTTCTATACATTAGTATCTCGGGACTCGCGGCACCTGGTATAGAACAAGTGATTGTGACAATTCGCTTCAGTCGTAACTTGGATTTATTCCCGCATCCGCTCCCCGCTCTCGAGTCATCAAAGTAAGTACCTACTTACCTCATTTACCCCTTCATAAACCGTGTGATTGATACGCCTTCAGAGGCTACAGCGATAGCAACGGCATTGCTGACCTGCTAGGCTAGGGGCTCAATATGTACATTCTAAGACACCATGTGCGCAAGTCCAGAGCAGGGCAGTTGGAGTGGCCTCGTGATCAGTGCCTACGTACGCCTTTGTTTCCTCTTTATTCCCACGTCTACAGTCCCCGAATATTGTGGTATGTTACATTTCTTCACTTGCTTTGCACCCTGTCCGACTCTCCATTTCTTCTCTTGATACAACTGTTTAAACATCGTTCCACAGTGCCTTCTCTCTCAAATGAAAATGCATCACAGGACCTATCAACTTCCCATACAAAACCGGTATCCAGCGGTATCCTTGCCATCTCTATCTATTTGCTTCGCTGTATACGAGTGTATACGCCCCCTATAAGTACATTAACATGTACTGGGTCCTCGGAGTAATCGTGGCTTGATGGTCCACGGTGATTAACGACGAAAAAATCTTTCACGATCCCCTCCTACCCAACCCTGTCTCCTGACTTACCAACAGTCTAGCCCTTACTCCCATAAGATGACCTTGCAGCTGATCAAATGCCAAGCCCATTCTTTTATATTAGTTCAATCCTTGATGTATCGAGGCAAGCTTCGCTGAGTTTTCTCCGCATCCCTTTCAGCAACATCCTTTCAGCTAGGAATGTTGTTCTAGCGGGGATTTCCCTAAGCGGTGCTGACGGCAACACGGGGTAGCTCGGTTGGTGAGTGATAGTGAGTGATGATACATAGGTGGAACTGGAATAAATCATCGTCACATCCACATCCTCTGATTGAGCGAGGCGTCCAGTGGGTATGATCAAGGATATAATGCGGCCACCAGTTGATGCGACGATATGCTCGTGTCGTTCATCAACTTCTTTAACAATCTCGAAGGGTTCCGCATTTACGGCCGCGATACGTGTTTCATTTGTCCCGCTACCGCGGGTGTCCGTGAATAGGTATCGTACGCATGAGAGATAAGTTGCATTGAAAAATATCAATATCTGTGGTGCTGCATCGAATGTACGACCCCCATCACGGTCCAGCAAGCACACGCTGCACACATTGCTTGCACGAAAGGGCAACTTACCCTGATGAAGATGTACGGCACCATCACTACACGCCTCCGGCCACGGGAAGGACCGGACGCCGAGATGAGCTGACCTCGCTTACCTTGAAGAAGGTTGTGTTCCCAGAGACCGGCGGAGATGCCACTACTCACTGGATGTACGATGGGACACTTAGGCATACGTATTTCGCGAAAACTAGGAAGGAATTGCAGGAAGACAGTGCGATAAATTAGGATTACACTTGGAAAAGACGCTCATGCCGGATCTTGGACTAGGAGAGGGATAATAGTCAGCTGTGGTCTGCATCCCCAGGAAAGAGTTTCTAAAAACGTGGGTATGTATACGTAGATGGAGTCATAGAAGGGCGTAATCAGCGACAACTCGTGACTTTTCTCTAATGCACAGTAGCCTCTTTAATAGCGACGACTTAAGTTCGATCAGTGTCCATGAGAATGTAGGGCCATCGCAGAATGAACACAGATGACTACACAGCATCCTGCGACAAGCGTGAAGAGTTAACGCTGTATTAAACTAAACGCGGGATGGTGGACTAGGAACATGCCATGAGTTTGAGTCTAGCGTCTTGAATGTGAGGTAAGGCATCTGCCTCGACCAAGCCACGCCCATTCCTGATTCCTGATTAAACGTCTACCAGGCAAAACCGAGTCGCGGTAGCTGATGAACACTCGAACGTGCTCACAACTGCCAATCATAAAGAGCAGGAGATCACTCCGGCTTGCTGTGTCTAATTTGAACCTTACCAAAATGTGGGCGTGGTTGGCCATGAAAGGATGCACCTTCGAAAATGAACCCGGTCAAGCTTGGCCGTTTTTTGATGGAATCATAGGGGATAGGTCCCATGTCCTAAATTCAGTAGCAATGCGGGAGCAGAGCCTTATATTACCTTCCATTCCCAGTACTGTTCCAGTGCTGGCAGGTGGACACAGGTTGGGGTCCCTGATCACGACTCGTAGAAAAGTCAACAAACGTGTAACGTGACGTTCAGCGGGTGGTGCATGGGCTCTGATTATCTAATATATTCGTAGGTCCCACCTCACACTTTCAGTTCACTTGCGGCCGTGTGAATGTTCTCCGGTGAACGTTCAGTGACGATTATACTAGCAGAACACTATGCCCTCTCGCCCATAGAAGATGCGGGAAAATGAATCAAGCCATACGAAGCCCCTTCTCATGCGTTGGTCATGCTGCCCAAAAATCCACGCATACTGTGCACCTTCACGTTATCACCCCTTGAGCAAACAAGTACTCACTTTCATCCTGAGGGTATAAAATGCCCGCCGATCAGACTCACACTCCCCAGCGAACTCTCCAATTCGCAGCTAACCTTTCATACTTGCAACTCAGTCGAGATGTACTTCCGCGCATCTGCTCTTCTCTTCCCAATCTGTGCCCTCGCTTCCCTTGCTGCGGCTGTCCCAGGGGCTATCGACGCCCGCGGCGGCAGCGGGGTATGCTATGGCGATTACCTGTGCTGCCAAACGATATACCCTGTACGTATCGCAGCGTCGCTTGCCATCATGCGCCCGGAATGCTAATGGACTGACCGACTGCATGCGCAGGCCAACGAAGTTAGTGCCCAGGAAATCCAAAACCTTTACAGTGTCATCATCAATCCTATCGTTGGGCCCTATTTTGCGACCGAGTGTGCAGGGTTTCACTGGCAATTGCAATGCTAATGTGCTCTGCTGCACGAATCAGCATTGAAGTAAGCACCCAATAAACATGGAGAATCTGTCCGGTTTCTAACTGAAGCTTTTCACAGAGAGGTCTAGTCTACGAATGGTTGCAGCAAGTACGTGGAATAAGTGTCGAGGAGGTCGTGTGAATGGTCTTGTATAAATATGCCGATCGTGCTGTAGTTTTGGTTTGTACCCAAGAAAACGTGTTGTAAATCGTGGTGATTCAAAGACGAGAAGCCCCTCTGCGGGCGCAGATTTACCAATGGACTATTGCTATAGCGCTATTACGATGAGGACGGAAATTTACTGTAGGAGCGCATGTAACGCGCTGTTCAGGTTAGCCTTAAGCCCGCATACTCGGGCCAGAAGAGCACAATGCTCGTCGGCCATCAGCAACATTATTGTCACCGGATATAGGATTTAGCTTCCAAAAAAGTGCGCTGCCTCTTTCGAGAGTTCGGTCGCAGAAGGCTTACGTGGTACTTGTATTTATCTTTCGGGATTCGGGCTTCCGTGTGACCTGTACACCGGTTTCTCTGAAACATCATCACGCGGGTTCCATTCGCCAACTCCTCGGGCTGGCGCTGCGAAGGCAAAAAAAGCCTATCCATTCTGGTAAGGTCAGCGATCTTCCTATTCAATATAGATAGGGATAGCGCCGTCCTCGGGAGACCCTGAAAAGAGACATCACTACATGAGCTGGCCAGTTCAGGTACGTCGTACATACTACATCCCGAGAGCCCGCAAATATCATGCGCAGCGTACCCGCGTGAAAGTAATCCGAAATCCGTCCGTTCGGAACCTCAATGACGTAGAAGAGGACAGAGAACCTGATCTGTCATGGATGAAAGCGCAGAATGCCGTAGCGAGCATAAGGATCTGAGTTTGGCATACTCGGAGTCCACAGCGCCCTACACCTTCTTTCGACCCCCACCTTCCCTCGATTCATTCGCTACCACTGGCCCTCACTATCCTAGCCGCCACGCCATCATAACCCCTTTAACTTCCAGTGGAGCAGTGGGAGAGGACCTCCCGTGCGCTGAGCTGAGCTCGAGGCAAGCACCTCGATGATGTATCTACTAAACAGAACGTGTGCTTGTCCGCGTCTACCCTCCTTCTGACTAAGCCCAATGTGGCTGTGTCCTCGCCCTGACTTCAAGCTTTCAAGCTTCACCGGCCACGCACGCTTTCCCTCGTATGTCGAAACGTGCATACCACGAATTCGGGTCCTCCACACATTGGCGTCAATACACATCCAGTGTGCCACAGCAGCTATTTCTTAGCGGTACTGAGACGCTCGGCAATGAAAACCTACCATGAGGCGAGGGTGATGCTGACAACAGCCAGATAATAGAAAAAAACGGGCATCACTGGTCAACCTGCAAACCGGTTCTGCAACGTCTAACCGTCAGGGGCGATCCCGCAAAAATGGTGAGTTGACTACGTGGGTTCAAGGTGCTCAAGGAGAGGCAAGGGTTAAGATCCTGGTAGGTTATCTGCTATCTTTGATCCTCCGTCCACGTCTGCTTATTTTTCCCTCATCCGTTGGCGTTCATTATAACCACCTGTCATGACTGGTACCAACTTCACCAGAAACTAGTCGACAGGAGAGTCTTTAAGCAGGGCCATGCCGAGAGAATTTGAGGCAGAGCTGAAGAGCGTCTTATTTGAGTGAAGATGACGAGCGAAAGAATGCCGGGCTTGGAGGTGGTGATGAGAGAACGCCGAAAACATGGGACACCACAGTCAGAGCGAGCCTGGGACACGAAGTTGAGGGCGTTGGCAGGGTTTCCAGATGGGTGGTTCAGCCAGTGCGTACCCTGGTTCACCGCGCCGTGTGTACTTTGCCCAATGGAGACCTCACGTACTCAGATACGGTCGCCCCACGGGAACAATGCTAGATACACAGAAGTGAATCTAAGGTACGTGTATCGTATGAGAGGAGCTAGGCAGTGAGGAACGGATATACGCTGAACAACACTTCCTGTTCCCGATGTTGCTTCAGTCCGGCTTGCCGGGTAAAATATCAATCATTGGCGCGGTCCGCGGGATGCAGACCCGTTTTCCTTGTACAAACTCTTGCTATTAATCCACCAAAACCTACGGCGGAAATTTTCGAGGCCCGCTGCGGTTGATGATGCAGAATCTGCTTAAGTCACAACAAACAGGAGTTCCAGCAGAACTCCTTACATAGACCTCTCCCAATATGCAGCCACCATTTGAAACAGGTCATCTAGCTAGTTATTCTTCCACATACACCTTCCGAGTCGTCCCGTCTTTGTGCAGCCTCCATCTCGATCTCGTTTCCGTGGGCCCAGACTCTCGCTTCGATAATTGGGCACTTTGTCCTGGTCTTTAGTTGCCTTCAGAACTGAATTGTGTCCATACTTGCCCTGCGAATATGCCTCTGGGCCAATATCTGGGCTCTTCCCGAGGACAGCTCCATGCAGGTGCATACATGTGATTCATCTGGTTTTGTTCTCATTTTGAACATACACAGTACTTCCAGTTGAAGAATTCTAGTATGAGATCGAGCACACACAAGGAAGACTGACCCCATCGGTTGGCTGGGTGATCAATGTGATCAATGTAAGACACAGATAATACCCATGTAGCCATTGAAACTTGAAAGGTGGCACGGGTGTTCAATGTACGCTCTCAAGCCTTGTAAATGATGCCCCTGAAGAAAGAAGGCATAGAACAAAAGGTGCCAGTCAACAGCGCGGCGCACCAAGGCAGCTTCCTGGAATGGAGCTCCTAAATGAGTTTTCCGGCTTAGTTTTGCACCCAGTAAGGTAAAGTGCCATTGACTTACCAGCGTATCGCTGACCAGACTTAGACGGCTATCTCGACGCCTCTGGTCATTCGCAACCTTCTCGTGTGGCTGTCTCGAGTTAGTGCATCCTTCATTCTTCGTCACCACCAATAACAAGTACTTTGTATTCTGAGTGTGTATATGCTTATGTACATCACCCATTGTGAAGATGTCAGAACGCCTTGTGGAGGCATTTCGTGAGCTCAATTCGATTCTCGACACTACCACTGGAGCGACAAAGGTATTCAAGCCATTGGATAGGGTATATTTTACAGGCCTCTCTCTCGTCTCATTAAACATCAATTTCGCATCCCCTATCATGTCCTCTGGTAATCAAGTTCATATTTCCCAGAACTTTCATCCTCTCAAACTTGCCGGTTCTCGTGCGCAAGACAATGACATGGTTGGATATACTTGCGTACCTCAAGATATGCGACACTCCACACAGGATTTTAGAGATGCAGGTGCACTCGGAGGAGGCAACTGAGGGAACAGTCGAGGTAAGGTTTTGGAACAGCTTGAGGGGAGCGGCAATAGGTACTAATAGTAGTGGCAGTGGTGGTACTGACGCTAGTGGACAAAGTGGGGTTGGAAATAAGGAGTGTGAGATGGCCGCCCTGGGCATAGCTATGAATTTCACCCGGGAGGGTATTATACCAGAGGGAGGTCGCGAATCGGTAAACTGTGACGACGACATCATGTGCATGTAAGCTCATTAATGCCATTCAAACGTGAACCAAAAAGCTGTCGGCGAGCATCAATACATGACCTCTCTCGCGAATGTGTCAGTACGCATACTATTCTTGTTCGCAGCTAGGTTCATCTTCTCTATTGACCGCTCTTCGTACTCAACGTAATACAAAGTGGGGGGCAACTTGAACGTGATCTTAGAGATGTTGAATTTGACATCAGCCGGTGCAGCGAGCATCACATTGATATCGAATGGTTTGAGCTCCATATCAAGGCCTCCGGTGATGCTGTATAGTGCAGAGTATTCCATGGCGTCGTATTGGTATCGTCGATCATTATCCTCGGTCGTGACTTTTCCGTGTCGGGTGCGCCTGGTGGAGACTCACATTGTACCAACGATGGACCCAATGTTAATGACGAGACCCTCATGTCGTTTCATCATAGGCGGCACGGTAGCCTTGGTGACGCAGAGAGCAGCAAAGCTGTTGAGCTCGAATGCTTTCCGGGTTTGCGCGATCGTCGCTTCGGCAACTGGACCTGGTACCACTGCACACGTATCATATCAACTATCCGCTCTTCGAGTATACGTCGAACGACCTAACAGAAGAACGAAAGACAGCTATACCATATCCTCGTCCTTGGTGAAGTCCAAAGCCTTCGTGCGGATGACGTCGTGTTAGGAGCCTTGCATGGTCTCGAGCCTGAGGGACGTCGCGTACTTTTTCTGTAAATGTTTCGCAAGTGGTACTCTTCGTTAGTCAGCAGCCATGATCAAACCGCGTTGTACAGCGCCAGTGCAAGACCCAGAACCCACAGCAAAGACGGCGGTCTCAAACCGAATAAGCCAACAACATAAATCGTAGACACGGACGTACAGACGAAATCCATTAGCGTCGTACACTCGGTCACGAGGACCACCTTGAACGTTGAATAGCTCGGACAGCTGCAATCCCGTCGCAGACATTTCACTCGGGTGGTGGCAGTGGACGTCTGATGAAATCGGCATCCACGTTATCTGAGCTCGCTCCTGTTTCTTCCTTTTTTCTTCTTCTTTTCAGCCGCCGCTCGATCCGCGGACTACGACCTTGTTTCGATACTGCGTTGGTAAATTGTACCGAATTTCTCGCAAATGTTCGTACACATGATGGTAGGAACTTCCGAAGTGAGTACATACCTTGTACGTTTCCTTCCTACTACGGACACATATTAGCACGACGCATGGCATATGTCCAAATTGGATGCCAGGTCGTAAGACCGCGTCGATCGGTGTGGATAGCAGTAGTGGAAACAGGACCTTGGCGAAACTGGATTGACAGATTGACAACTGAGACAAACAGAACAAAATTTTTTCGATGATATCATTCTGGGGTGCGAACTCATCCCAGTGCCGATCGATATGGAATAGAATCCGTAGGTTGCAGGCGCAAACGTTGTAGACATTCTCGTACTACAGACTGCAACAAGGCACGCGACGCTGAACGCGAGTTGTGGTAGCCCACGTGATGTTTGTTAAGCGTTGGCTAAAAATAAGGTGAAAATGGGTTTCCAAAGTCCAAAGGAGGACGTACTGTACACATGTCCCTACCTTGTTCTTCTCAAAATGTCAATGTCGAGCCAAATAAGGGCGCAAATGACAACAGAGTAATACAATGCTCGACTCACCATTCAGTCCTTGGGCGATATACGATAGAGTACTAGGCATTTTGCATTTTGCATTTTGAAAAAAATTGCTAGAAAAACATGCCACGGATTACACTTGAGACAGACACCGACGCCCGCCAAGGAATAATAGTCAAAGATTTCCGAACCCCAGAAAGGGCTCCAAAAGCGTGGGTACAGGTGCGGGTTTAGAGGGACCCGAACGGCGGCCACTTCCTCGCACTCATAAAATTTTTTCTCCCCTACCTGCTGTCGACCTTTGGATCGTGAGGGACATAGCAGCCTCGTTTCAGGGTTGGTTTCCAATATTTGGGAATATTGGCACAGAAAATGAATACATATTAGTACCGGTAACCTGTGACGTAGGGGGAGTTGATGTTATTGAACGTAACGCGACGTGGGGGACTAGGAACCCGGAATACTCATGACGTAAGATTGCCTCCGCTGATCCAAGCCCATGCTTAATTAAACGCCTACCAAGCAAAACCGCGGACCCAGAGCGTCGCCAACACTGAAACATGCTCCCATCTGTCAATAGAAAAGGAGATCGCTCCACTATATTGTACCTGATTTGAGCATTATCAAAATATAGGCGTAGTTAACTGTCAAGGGCTGCACCTTCGAGGGTGAACCTTGTCGTCTGCTGTCGGGCTCGGCCGCATTGGGATGAAATTATAGTGGATGGCTCCCATGTCCTGAAGTCTGCGACAATGGGAGAGCAGAATTTGAATTGTTTCCGTTCCTGCTCCTCGAGGACCATTTGGAGTGGGAATAATCAACGGCAGCCATCCACCATCAGACATCACGTCCAGGGGCAGTCACGTACAAAGAAGAATTCGCCATTGCAATCCCCCTCTCGCACGTGGAACATGCGAGAAAATGAATCAAACCACCTCATGTTGTCATTCTGCCCAAAAAGTCACGCACACTGTCCGTCTTCGTGTCATCATCCCTTGAGCAAACAAGCTCTCACTCTCGTCCTGGGGGTATAAAATGCCTGCTAGTCAGCTCCATATTCCCCAGAGAAGCCCTCAATCTTCAGCCAACCTCCAGTACTCCTTACTCAGTTGAAATGTATACTCGCGCCTCCGTTCTTCTCTTCCCAGTCTATGCCCTCGCTTCCCTCGCCGCAGCTGCCCCGGGGGCCTCTGGATGCCCGTGGCGGCAGCTCGTGCACCTCCGGTAGTACGCTGTGCTGCAAAACGGTAGTCTCTGTACGTATCGTGGCGTCGCCTGCCATCTTGCTTCCCGCGCTCTTATAGACTGACCAACTGCGTACGCAGGACAACGCGGCCGGCGTTGCGCTGATCGAAGCACTTGTGGGCGCCACTATCGATCCCGTCATTGGGCCTCTTCTTGCGACCGGCTGTATTGCCACCGTTGGTTCCTGCATTGGTCAGACGGTCTGTTGCGAAAGTAGCCAGGATGTAAGTACCCAATAAATGCGGGAAACCTGCCGGGATCCTAACTGAAGCCCTTTTCATAGAACAATCTCGTCTACGTTGGCTGCAACAACATCGCTTTGTAGTTGGATGTCAAGGAGAGGAAGTTGTGTGAATTGATCTTGTATGATTGTGCCGATTGTGCTGCAGTATTGTTTGTACGAAAAGAATGCGTGCTGTAAATCGTGATTATTCAAAGAAAAAAATATTAGCGTGGCCCACTTGCAAACACGGACTTACCGATTGACAATGGTTGTGAACGCAAGGAGCCGTTCAGGTTACCCACAAGACCGCACACCAGTTGGCAGAGGTGACACACGTGTGTCCGCGCCAGAAGAGCACAATGCCTACCAACACCGTCGGCCATTAGCATTGTCAGAGTGTAATCTGCTCACAGGACATAGTCGATATTCGCTAGGTACGACCGAGCGGGCACACATCCAAAAAAAGTGCGTTGCCTTTCCCGAGTTGACTTACACGGAACTACATCTATCTTTCGGACTTCAAGCTTTCGAGGGCACTATCGCAGTCTGTATGCTAGTCTCCCTGAAACGTCTCCATGCGGATTTCATCCTCTTCGGCTGGCGCTGTGAAGATCAAAAACGCTCAAATTGGCAAGCTCATCCATTCCGGCAAGGCTAGTGATCTGCCTTTTCAATGCAGTTCGGGGATAGCGCCGTCATCGAAAGGCAGAATTGGCACCCTGGAAAGCAATGTCACCGCACGAACTAGCCAAGTCAACAGGGACGCCGTACATATTTGGTAGACTGGCTCAGAGAACCCGCAATATCAAAGGTGCACGGCACACCCGCATGAGAAAAAATATTCCGGCATTTGTGTGTTTCAAACCCCAATGACGTAGTGAAGGACAGGGGGACTTGCAGCCCATGAAAGGGCAGAGCGCCGTGACGAACTATCAGGACTTGTTGTCGGATTCATTAGTAAGTACTTCGTTCCCTCCGTGGAAGTCATTTTGACTGCGGGAGCAGCTTACGTAATCGGGATCAAATCAGTCCCGTGCTGAACCAGTCCACGAGTCTTGCGTTTTGAGCTCCATATAAAGGCCTTTGGTAATGCTGTGTGGTGCTGCGAGCAGCACAGAGTATTCGATGATGTCGCACTGGTGTCGTCGACCACTGGTCTCGGTTATGACTTTTCCGTGTCCGGTGCGCCTGAGAGAGACTTGCATTGTACCGACGACGGTTCTAGCGCTGATGATGAGACCCTCACCTAGTCTGATCATAGGCGACACGGTAGCGTTGGTGACGCAGAGAACAACAAAGGTGTTGAGCTCGAATGCTTTTCGGATTTGCACGATCGTCACTTTGGCAACAGGACCTGGTACCATTGCACATGTATCGTATTAGCTATCCACTCTTTGAGCGTACGTCCAACGATCTAACAGAAGAACGAAAGACAGTTATACCATATCCTCATCTTCAGTGAAGTCCAAAGCCATCGTGCGGATGATATCGTGTTAGAAGCCTTGCATGATCTCAGGCCTGAGGGACGCCGCGTAGACTATGCATACTTTTTCTGTGAATTTTTCGCAAGTGGTAGTCTTCGTTCGTTAGTAGGAATGGCCAAAGTGCGTTGTATGGTGCCACTGCAAGTCCCGGAACCCAGAACAAAGATGACAGGTCTCAAACCGAATAAGCCAACAACACAAGTCTTAGACACAGACGTAGAGATGAAATCCATTAGCCCCTGTCGTACACCGGTCGTCAGAAGTACCTTGAATGTCGAATAGCTCGACACGGAAAGTTGCAACCCCGTTGCAGACGATTCACTCGGGTGGTAGTAGTGAGCATCCGACGAAATCGGCATCCATGTTGCCTGAGCTCCCTCTTTCTTTTCAACCGCCGCTCGATCCGCGGACTACGACCTTGTCTTGATACCGCGTTGGTAATTGTGCCAGATTTCTCGCAAACCCTCATACACACGGTGATAAGATGAACTTCCGAAGTGAGTACATATGTTATGCCTTTCCATGCTATAGATGCACATTAGCATAATGCAGGCCATGTGTCCAAATTGGATCCCGGGTCGTAAGACCGCGCCGATCGATGCGGAGAGCAGTGGTGGAAACAGGACTTTGGATTGACGCATGGTCAACTGGGACAAATAGAACAAAAATTTTTCGACGATATCATTTTGGGGTGCGAACCCAACCCAGTGCCGACTGATAAAAGAAATTGCAGGCGCAGACGATAGTCGCAGACATGGTCGTACTACAGACCGCGACGAGGCACGCGACGCTGAACGCGAGTTGTGGTGACCCATATGACGTTTGTTAAGCGTCGGCTGTAAATATCGAAAATAAGGTGAAAATGGGTTTCCGGAGTCCAAATGACGTGTTGTACGCATGTCCGTACCTTGTTCTTCGCAAAATGTCGAGCCAAATAAGCGCCCGGATGATAATAGAGTAATACAATACTTCAACATTCAGTGCTTAGACTATACACGATAGAACACTAGGCATTTCACATTTTGCGACATTTGGGATCGCCTGAAAGAATTGGTAGAAGAAACATGCAATTGCCCACACTCGAGACAGACGCCAACGCCCGCCAAGCAATAGCAGTCAAGGACTTTCGAAGCCCAGACAGGGCACCAAAAACATGGGTACAGCTGCGGGTTTAGAGAGACCCGATCGGCGGCCAGTTCCTTGCACTCGTAAAAAAATTTCTCCTAGCTGCTGTCAAACTCTGCATCATGAGGGACACAGCAGCCTCATTTTTAAGGATGGCTTAGGTTCAGTTTTCAATATTTGGGGATATTGGCATGGAAAAGCAATACAGATCAGTACACAATAACCCGCGACGCGCGTGGCGAGTTGATGTTATTGAACGTAACGCGACATGGAGGACTAGGAACCCGGAGTACTCGTGACGTAAGATTGCCTCCACTGATCCAAGCCCATGCTTAATACGCCTACCAAGCAAAACCGCCGATGCAGAGCGTTATTGAGTCTGAAACATGCCCCCATCTGTCAACAGAAGGGGAGATCACTCCACTATATTGTACCTGATTCGAGCATTATCAAAATATGGGCGTAGTTAGCTGTCAAGGGCTGTACCTTCGAGGTTGAACCTTGTCGTCTGCTGTCGGGCTCGGCCGCATTGGGATGAAATTATAGTGGATGGGTCCCATGTCCTGAAGTCTGCGGCAATGGGAGAGCAGAATTTGAATTGATTTCGGTTCCTGCTCCTCGAGGACCATTTGGAGTGGGAATAACCAATGGCGACCATCGACCATCAGACATCACGTCCAGGGGCAGTCACGTACGAAGAAGATTTTACCACTGCAATCCCCCTCTCGCCCTTAGAACATGTGAGAAAATGAATCAGGCCACCTCATGTGGTTATTCTGCCCAAAATGTCACGCACACTATCCGTCTTCGTGTCATCATCCCTTGAGCAAACAAGTACTCACTCTCGTCCTGGGGGTATAAAATGCCTGCTAGTCAGTTCCATATTCCCCAGAGAAGCCCTCAATCTTCAGCCAACCTCCAGTACTCCTTACTCAGTTGAAATGTATACTCGCGCCTCCGTTCTTCTCTTCCCAGTATATGCCCTCGCTTCCCTCGCCGCAGCTGCCCCAGGGGCTCTGGATGCCCGTGGCGGCGGTTCGTGCACCTCCGGTAGTACGCTGTGCTGCAAAACGGTAGTCTCTGTACGTATCGTGGCGTCGCCTGCCATCTTGCTTCCCGCGCTCTTATGGACTGACCAACTGCGTACGCAGGACAACGCGGCCGGCGTTGCGCTGATCGAAGCACTTGTGGGCGCCACTATCGATCCCGTCATTGGGCCTCTTCTTGCGACCGGCTGTATTGCCACCGTTGGTTCCTGCATTGGTCAGACGGTCTGTTGCGAAAGCAGCCAGGATGTAAGTACCCAGTAAATGTGGGAAACCTGCCGGGATCCTAACTGAAGCCCTTTTCATAGAACAATCTCGTCTACGTTGGCTGCAACAACATCGCTTTGTAGTTGGATGTCAAGGGGAGAAAGTTGTGTGAACTGATCTTGTATGATTGTGCCGATCGTGTTGCAGTATTGTTTGTACGAAAAGAACGCGTGCTGTAAATCGTGATTATTCAAAGAAAAAAAAAAGATTGGTGAGAGCCCAATTGCAAACGCGGACTTGCCCATTGACAATGGTTGTGAACGGAAGCAGCCGTTCAGGTTGGCCACAAGACTGCACACCAGTTGGCGGAGGTGATACACGTGTGTCCGTGCCGGATGAGCACAGCGCTTGTCAATACCGCCGGCTATTAGCATTTTCAAGGTGCAATCTGCGTATGGGATACGGTGAATATTCGCCAGATGCGACCGAGCGGGCACACATCCAAAAAAAGTGCGTTGCCTTTCCCGAGTTGACTTACACGGAACTACATCTATCTTTCGGACTTCAAGCTTTCAAGGGCACTGTCGTAGTCTGTATGCTAGCCTCCCTGAAACGTCTCCATGCGGATTTCATCCTCTTCGGCTGGCGCTGTGAAGATCAAAAACGCTCAAATTGGCAAGCTCATCCATTCCGGCAAGGCTAGTGATCTGCCTTTTCAATGCAGTTCGGGGATAGCACCGTCATCGAAAGGCAGAATTGGCACCCTGGAAAGCAATGTCACCGCACGAACTAGCCAAGTCAACAGGGACGCCGCACATATTTGGTAGACCGGCTCAGAGAGCCCGCAATATCAAAGGTGCACGGCACACCCGCATGAGAAAAAATATTCCGGCATTTGTGTGTTTCAAACCCCAATGACGTAGTGAAGGACAGGGGGACTTGCAGCCCATGAAAGGGCAGAGCGCCGTGACGAACTATCAGGACTTGTTGTCAGATTCATTAGTAAGTACTTCGTTCCCTCCGTGGAAGTCATTTGACTGCGGGAGCAGCTTACGTGATCGGGATCAAATCAGTCCCGTGCTGAACCAGTCCACGAGTCTTGCGTTTTGAGCTCCATATAAAGGCCTTTGGTAATGCTGTGTGGTGCTGCTCGCAGCACAGAGTATTCGATGACGTCGCACTAGTGTCGTCGACCACTGGTCTCGGTTATGACTTTTCCGTGTCCGGTGCGCCTGAGAGAGACTTGCATTGTACCGACGACGGTTCTAGCGCTGATGATGAGACCCTCACCTAGTCTGATCATAGGCGACACGGTAGCGTTGGTGACGCAGAGAACAACAAAGGTGTTGAGCTCGAATGCTTTTCGGATTTGCACGATCGTCACTTTGGCAACAGGACCTGGTACCATTGCACATGTATCGTATTAGCTATCCACTCTTTGAGCGTACGTCCAACGATCTAACAGAAGAACGAAAGACAGTTATACCATATCCTCATCTTCAGTGAAGTCCAAAGCCATCGTGCGGATGATATCGTGTTAGAAGCCTTGCATGATCTCAGGCCTGAGGGACGCCGCGTAGACTATGCATACTTTTTCTGTGAATTTTTCGCAAGTGGTAGTCTTCGTTCGTTAGTAGGAATGGCCAAAGTGCGTTGTACGGTGCCACTGCAAGTCCCGGAACCCAGAACAAAGATGACAGGTCTCAAACCGAATAAGCCAACAACACAAGTCTTAGACACAGACGCAGAGATGAAATCCATTAGCCCCTGTCGTACACCGGTCGTCAGAAGTACCTTGAATGTCGAATAGCTCGACACGGAAAGTTGCAACCCCGTTGCAGACGATTCACTCGGGTGGTAGTAGTGAGCATCCGACGAAATCGGCATCCATGTTGCCTGAGCTCCCTCTTTCTTTTCAACCGCCGCTCGATCCGCGGACTACGACCTTGTCTTGATACCGCGTTGGTAATTGTGCCAGATTTCTCGCAAACCCTCATACACACGGTGATAAGATGAACTTCCGAAGTGAGTACATATGTTATGCCTTTCCATACTATAGATGCACATTAGCATAATGCAGGCCATGTGTCCAAATTGGATCCCGGGTCGTAAGACCGCGCCGATCGATGCGGAGAGCAGTGGTGGAAACAGGACTTTGGATTGACGCATGGTCAACTGGGACAAACAGAACAAAAATTTTTCGACGATATCATTTTGGGGTGCGAACCCAACCCAGTGCCGACTGATAAAAGAAATTGCAGGCGCAGACGATAGTCGCAGACATGGTCGTACTACAGACCGCGACGAGGCACGCGACGCTGAACGCGAGTTGTGGTGACCCATATGACGTTTGTTAAGCGTCGGCTGTAAATATCGAAAATAAGGTGAAAATGGGTTTCCGGAGTCCAAATGACGTGTTGTACGCATGTCCGTACCTTGTTCTTCGCAAAATGTCGAGCCAAATAAGCGCCCAGATGATAATAGAGTAATACAATACTTCAACATTCAGTGCTTAGACTATACACGATAGAACACTAGGCATTTCACATTTTGCGACATTTGGGATCGCCTGAAAGAATTGGTAGAAGAAACATGCAATTGCCTACACTCGAGACAGACGCCAACGCCCGCCAAGCAATAGCAGTCAAGGACTTTCGAAGCCCAGACAGGGCACCAAAAACATGGGTACAGCTGCGGGTTTAGAGAGACCCGATCGGTGGCCAGTTCCTTGCACTCGTAAAAAATTTTCTCCTAGCTGCTGTCAAACTCTGCATCATGAGGGACACAGCAGCCTCATTTTTAAGGATGGCTTAGGTTCAGTTTTCAATATTTGGGGATATTGGCACGGAAAAGCAATACAGATCAGTACACAATAACCCGCGACGCGCGTGGCGAGTTGATGTTATTGAACGTAACGCGACATGGAGGACTAGGAACCCGGAGTACTCGTGACGTAAGATTGCCTCCACTGATCCAAGCCCATGCTTAATACGCCTACCAAGCAAAACCGCCGATGCAGAGCGTTATTAAGTCTGAAACATGCCCCCATCTGTCAACAGAAGGGGAGATCACTCCACTATATTGTACCTGATTCGAGAATTATCAAAATATGGGCGTAGTTAGCTGTCAAGGGCTGTACCTTCGAGGTTGAACCTTGTCGTCTGCTGTCGGGCTCGGCCACATTGGGATGAAATTATAGTGGATGGCTCCCATGTCCTGAAGTCTGCGGCAATGGGAGAGCAGAATTTGAATTGATTTCGGTTCCTGCTCCTCGAGGACCATTTGGAGTGGGAATAACCAATGGCGACCATCGACCATCAGACATCACGTCCAGGGGCAGTCACGTACGAAGAAGATTTTACCACTGCAATCCCCCTCTCGCCCTTAGAACATGTGAGAAAATGAATCAGGCCACCTCATGTGGTTATTCTGCCCAAAATGTCACGCACACTGTCCGTCTTCGTGTCATCATCCCTTGAGCAAACAAGTACTCACTCTCGTCCTGGGGGTATAAAATGCCTGCTAGTCAGTTCCATATTCCCCAGAGAAGTCCTCAATCTTCAGCCAGCCTCCAGTACTCCTTACTCAGTTGAAATGTATACTCGCGCCTCCGTTCTTCTCTTCCCAGTATATGCCCTCGCTTCCCTCGCCGCAGCTGCCCCAGGGGGCTCTGGATGCCCGTGGCGGCAGCTCGTGCACCTCCGGTAGTACGCTGTGCTGCAAAACGGTAGTCTCTGTACGTATCGTGGCGTCGCCTGCCATCTTGCTTCCCGCGCTCTTATAGGACTGACCAACTGCGTACGCAGGACAACGCGGCCGGCGTTGCGCTGATCGAAGCACTTGTGGGCGCCACTATCGATCCCGTCATTGGGCCTCTTCTTGCGACCGGCTGTATTGCCACCGTTGGTTCCTGCATTGGTCAGACGGTCTGTTGCGAAAGCAGCCAGGATGTAAGTAGCCAATAAATGTGGGAAACCTGCCAGGGATCCTAACTGAAGCCCTTTTCATAGAACAATCTCGTCTACGTTGGCTGCAACAACATCGCTTTGTAGTTGGATGTCAAGGGGAGAAAGTTGTGTGAACTGATCTTGTATGATTGTGCCGATCGTGTTGCAGTATTGTTTGTACGAAAAGAATGCATGCTGTAAATCGTGATTATTCAAAGAAAAAAAAAAAAGATTGGTGAGAGCCCAATTGCAAACGCGGACTTGCCCATTGACAATGGTTGTGAACGCAAGCAGCCGTTCAGGTTGGCCACAAGACTGCACACCAGTTGGCGGAGGTGATACACGTGTGTCCGCGCCGGATGAGCACAGCGCTTGTCAATACCGCCGGCTATTAGCATTTTCAAGGTGCAATCTGCGTATGGGATACGGTGAATATTCGCCAGATGCGACCGAGCGGGCACACGTCCAAAAAAAGTACGCTGCCTTTCCCGAGTTCGGTTGAAGAGGACTTCCACGACACTACATCTACCTTTCGGACTTCAAGCTTTCGAGGGCACTATGGCAGTCTGTACGCCGATCTCTCTGAAACATCTCCATGCGGATTCCTTCTTCTTCGGCTGGCGCTGTGAAGATCAAAAACGCTCAATTTGGCAAGCTCATCCATTCCGGTAAGGCCAGCGATCTTCCTTCTCAATACAGATCGGGGATAGCGCCGTCTCCGGGAGGGAGAATTGGCACCCTGGAAAGCAACGTCACAACCCGAGCTAGCCAAGCCAACAGGGACGTCGTACGTACTTGGTACACCGACTCAGAGAGCCTGCAATATCAATTATCAATGGTGCACAGCGCACCGGCATGAAAGCAAATATTCCAGCATTCGTAAGGTTTCAAACCTCAATATTCAACGACGTAGAGGAGGACAGGGAGAGTAGTCGTCGATGAAAGGGTAGAACCCCATTGCGAACTTTCAGTCACGGACTTGTCGGATTCGTAAGCACTTCCAACCTAGTTTTGTTCCTCCGTGGATGTTATTTGGTTGCGGGGGCAGCTTATGTAATCGGGAATCAAAATCCATCGGTCCCGTGCCGAGCTGGTCCACGAGTCTTGTGTGCGCATCCCATACTTAGCATATACATGTAAGCATCGTTCACATACGTACGCGTAAAGTGTCATGTCACTAGTGATACACCGAAAACCATATATCTATGTGAACCAAAAAGTAAAAGGATATTCCCAGTAAAGGACTGCTAGAAAATAGGTATGTATGCATGTAACTTGTGTATCCCCCACCCGATCTGTGCATTGCACAAAGAGATAGGGAAGGAGGGATACGACCCAAAAGAAGAGGGGTATGAGAGAGAGGGGGGAAAGGGCCGAGAAGTGTTGCAGGTGGTCGGACGGTGGGATAACCGTGAGTAGTTCAAGAGGAAGAAATACTTCTGTTATGTATTCCATCTATCATCGACCGCATAGCCCAGCGCATTCATGGAATGCGACACGGTAGGTTACCAGACTAGGGGTATCAAAATGTCACCAACGAACCAAGAAAGAAGAAAGGAAGAGATAGTATGTTCGTCACGAAGTCTTTCGTAAGTCGTTCGAATTTCGAAAGGTGTTCATGACGACAAAGATATCGAGCTAGAACCCATAGATGCCGGCACAGATTCTGCTGAGTCCAGCTCCTTGGCTACCTTCACCAACCCTTCGGATACTGAAAACGAGCTAGCGAGATGGGCGACCAGCGATGTTGAATCTATCGGTAAGCCCTCATGCATGGTCACGCCCACCTTCCTCACGTTCTCTCCATCTATACCGCCCCTCTCGATCCCCACATAGTCGTATACCAACTCCCGCACCGGCAGTACGTCGCTCAACCGTCTCCGCATTTCACCAATGCGTCGACCTGTACGCGAGAGACGAAATTGGTCCCATCGTTGGCGCATGGCAAGTCGGAGTGCTGTGCGTCTGCGAGAGAACGTGGAAAGACGGGATGAATGTGAAATAAAGGAGGACGTATGGGGACTCGTGAAAGGGCTCGTGACGGGGGTGCCGTTAGGAACAGTTGAGTGTTCTGTAGAGTGTGGGTCAGGGCGAGTAAAAGGAAATGACGCAAAAAAGGGGGCAAAAGCTCACCACGTCTCGTCACAACTGCACCATTCCCATCCGCCACCTTCTTCTTCTTCTTCCCTTGCTGGTTTCGCCTCACGAAACCCTTGACGCACCCCGAGAACCAAAAGGCATGCAACGGAAATATACACGCCATGATAATGCCTGGTCCCATCGATCCTTCTGAGACGCGTGCGCGCTGCAGGAAAAGGGAGAGACCGAGTCTGATGTGTAGTGCGATACGGGTGAGGAAGAAGGTTGTAGCGAAGAGGACGTCGGAACGGAGATTGGGGTTGATGGTGGCGACGGCGAGAACAAAAGTTGGGATCTGGTGGGGTGCAAGGGTAAGTGAGTGGGGAGATGTATTTTGGGACGCATGAGTGGACATTGGGGATGGGATAGCACGAGGGACGTACCTCCATGATTGCACACAAACAGAATATGTGACTCCAGTTCATACGGATGGCGTACTCGACGACGAAGACATATACCGAGTGGTGCACCCAACCTGTCAGCCAGTTAACCTTACTCCGGTAGTGCAACAACCCCAATACGATATCGCTGTTTGCGTCACAAGCGCCAAGACCGACATGAAACATAGACACGACACGGTAAGACGCAACGAAGGACGGGAAAGTAAACACGAACGCGATGAGATAGGCCTGGAAGAACCTAGACGCACAATACGTCCACATGTTGGAGTGTTCGGATGCGTGTGATATCGCCGTAGGAGGATAAGTAGTCGTATGCGAGCGGGAGAGAGGCAATGGACATGACGGCGCTGGAGATGGTGGTGAGAATCCATGAGCGCTGTTTGACGGTTGGCAGGTATGGGGAGGAGAGATAGAAGGCGAGCGTGAGTGCCACGAGGGCGGACTGGAAAGCCGTCGAATGGAAGAGGTGATCAGTGGGGGGGAGGGAGATCATCGTTGTCGTGAAAAAAGACGGCCCCGGCGTGGAATGAGACCCACGCGAGGTATTAAAGAGGGGCGAGGAGGACCCGTGAAGGAAGCACACAGGACAGCCACCGCAGCAGACGCTCGATAAGCCAGCCAGTCCTCGTTATGGACACCTGCGAAGACGAGCCACTCCTCGGAACAAGCCAACGAACGAACGTGTCGTCGGCATGGGAGAATTCGACACGTTGACTCAATTCAGACGAACGTGCAATTAGCCTGCTGTCAAACGTCCGACTAGGAATGCGTCTCCAACGCCCCTCCTGCATTGCCAGTGTTCGCTTGGAATGTACTCGATGGGCGCAGCGCCTCTGTCAGGTTATATACTATCACCAGCTAAACAGACAGTGCCTCATGATGGCCCCTCCCTAATATCACACTCATCTGGTTAGCATCAACAGATGCCTAATTGGGACGTTCGGTGCCCAAGAGTCACTCCATAGGAACAGCCAGCTCCAATCGGAGTCATTGCAGTGGTTATCGCTTTCAGGACTGCTCGGCAGAATCGGTCCTTCGATAGTCGTCTCTGGTTCTGACCCACGTTCATTGACGCTTCCTGAGTCACTACAAGCACTACCCGAGGTCTGCCCGCGTTCCTCCACTCATCGCTGCTCGACTTCGTTGCACATACTCAATAGCTGCTTAGTTAGCATGGCCCCAAGTGGATTTTGAGTTGATTCGCGTCGAGCAGATGTGCATACCACTTCCTCAACCAACACTATCTCCGATTCAACGAGAGGTCGAACCACTTATCAATTCACCACTTATCACGCGTGCTTTATCAGTCCACGTTCGTGGCCAATCAACTGGTTATCGAATCCCTAAAAGTCTGTATACTATGCAGACGATCGTTCGTCATGTCGTGTCTGATCAGATCAGTGATCGACTATGGTCGAGACTGCGACAGCTCAACCGTGTCCTCTCTGTACGGCTCAAACTTGACGTCCGAGCTATCGTTGCGCTTATCCGTACAATAGGTGTCGACCCAAACTCGTCTGAGGAGCTTACTGGAAACTCAGCAACTTCCTCGTGGCGTTGTCGGTTGCGAGACTCGCCCTATCTATTAGACTTACGCTGGGCTGCACAGTTCTTCCGTATCCACGCGCTGCGCCCCCCCCCCCCCCCCCCTAGTGGGATAAGTCCCAACAGTGCCATAATGCTGTTTGTGCAACTTAGCACCAGTGGTCCATCTGGAATTCGGTTTGGGATCATAGTTGTTTTCCTCCTCAAGTCTAAGAGGGTGAATGTTTACGGTAACCTAGGCGCATGGTACTGGTGCACCAGCATCGAGTAGTCGGCCTCCCGTTTTAGCGAGTTTGCTGTACTGATCAGTGTACAGAAAAGCGTAGATGGATAGATCTGACAACGGAGATGAGAGGGAGAGCGTACCAAGGGAGCGGATGCGGGAAATGGTGGAACAATCTACAGTAGAGTGACAGAAATCGCAACATTTTCGTCGGAACTCCATTTCCTTTTCCCCATCACGCCCACATCGAAGCAGAGTACTACCGAGACCAGTGTTGGGTTCTGGGACGGTGGGCACCGTTGACTAGCGACTTCTTACCTATGGTTCAGCAGTTGTCACGATCGGCGTAGGAGGTATTTCGCTCGTTTGGACCACTCGGGCGTTGGGATTTTTTGCTTATCTCTTAGACATGGTTGATTAGCTTTCGTACACGTCTCCGAGCGGCGCAAATTAGGTAGTCATTCTCAATACAAGATGATCACGATATTGGATGGAACGTTAGACTCAATCCAACGATGTAAACTCGCTGGTTCTGATTCTAGGCCTGGTTGGCTCGCGACAACAGGTGAGATCGCAGAGGAAAGTTGGAACAAGTAGTATCAGGGACACATAGACCCATCCTGGGCGTTCGCTACTGAGTCCTGGCATGATGATTCACTGGGTTGGGGCAGCTCGGATCGCACTTTGCGTGCTGCTAGTAATAAGTCATATTTGGAAATGCCCGCTTCGGCATCAGTGAATGCTCTACTCGGCATTAGCGTGCACATCATCGCCATACGCCCGGTGGAGAAACGCACCGTTGCATTGGATATGAACGATATTCTGGTGCATGGTCAGTAGCGTTCTGCACAAACATCTCTCCCACGTTCCTCAGGTGCTGGTAGAGGAATGAGAAGTCCAATCGTTGGCAACCTACGAGCACATGATGGGTATGTGTATGACATACCTTCGCTCGTGCCTTTCGCACTTGGTCCTCGACGAGTTTGTCGTTCACGATGGCTTTCACGACCTTATTTTTCGTGTTGGCCACTGACGTTCTAGAAGCGAATAAAATTAATCACGTGCCTTTTTCAGCACTTGTTTGACTTCACAGCGGATACCTTGCCAGCATAACAAGAGGATCTGCGATATGCGTCATTAGCCACTAGTCAATTAGTACTGAGCCTTTCCCTCCGGCGCTAACCGTTCCAGCTATGTCCTCTGTTAGTGCCCGTTGCACCTCATCGTCATTTATTTCTGTTTGAAGATAACTTCGGAACTTATTCACACGATCGAGCAGGTTTCGGAGGCAAGATTTGAGCTCGGCGGGATAAACCGCTGTAAAATCCTCTTCGGGCGCATCGCTGTCACTACCCGGATTGCTAGAATCCAGTTGAGTACTTGTCACAAAGTTGCAGGCCAGGCAGAGCGAAAACTCACAATGTGAGAATATCCTCTGACTTCATATAAATGGTTCCAATGAGACGAAGTAACTGCATTCACAATCAGGAATGAGCGAGTACGAACATGCTACCGGACTTGAGCAAACATGCCTGCGGACCGAAGCCCTTCGATCTCAGCTCCTCGCTTGTTTGCCGTATGGCTGTCCCTCGCGTTGACGCAAGGTTAGTCGCCCCCTATGTGAAGATTTTGTTAGTAGTTATCACCGCTCGTAGGTTCAACAAACCTTGACAGCTGCACGAGTTGAATCCTGGACCAAGGTCCCTTTGATTACCTGGATGCGTGAATCCCGAACGCCTGTCAACCTCTCCCCTCGTCACGGGCAAACGTCGGTTGGCTGTGCTAACTTGTGTGCGTCGTTGTAAAGGGAAACCTGTTCGGCGGCCTAATAAAGGGCGTCGTAAAATTGGATAAGAACGAGTGGGCTCATTTACGCCCTCCACGCTCCGCCCGCTGTTATCGTGTGTAGACTTGTCGGCTTTCGAGGCTGCGACAAGGGATGCCAGCTCTGAGAAGAAAGATATGTCACCAACCTTAGAAGTAAGCGAAAATGAGTTCGGAATGGTGTTAGTGAGGATTTCCATACAGATCGTACCAAGTTTTCCAAAGACTTCCCCCCGAATATATCTGCGAAGAACCTAACGGCTGCTTCCCTTTCTTCTTTGTTCCCATCCTATTTATAACAGTTTACGCAGGATATTAACGGTCAGAAATCCTCAGACGCACCGGCGTTAATAGTTTGTTAACGTGTAGACTACACGTGTCAGCCTATCCTCGGAATGCTTACCACGAGTGAAAGTGGGACGTGCTTGATGCTTTCGAATTGACTCCTTGTGTTCTCATGCGCATTTTCTCGGTGCCAAGCTAAGGGCGTCATCAACGTGTAGAGACGGCTGGGGGTATGGTGTTTTTCCCAATTGGTATTGCCGAGAACTATTGCGATATTTATCATGGGACGTGATGAAAACAAACGAAGGCTCACCCTGATTATTGGTGCGAACTGACCATGTGAGTTCAAGCCAGCCTTTTCCGTAGTGACGATCTGGACCTTCTCTATAGTAACTCTCCGAACACCGTATAACCGTTGTCACTAGGCGTCGGCCTGACAGATGAACAGAAAAGGCTGCGATGAGGGAATAGATATCTTCGGTACTTGGCAGTGACCAAACAGTGGCGTTGCGAAGGGCCAGAGTTCTGACACGGTCCCCTGTCCGGCCAGTCAGTTCCACGAAGTCGTCCTGAGGATATGCGCCTTTATCTCCACTCCCAAGTTCCACACAACGATGAGGCATATTTAGTCCTAGCGTGGCGGCAAGGTCGAAGATGTTTCCTTCTCGTTCAAAGGGCCCATTCCACATCATGCGACCGTATTCACCTGGCTACTTCCATCAGACTCGGTATCAGGAGGGATGCATCCTGTCACTTACTTCGATCGTCGAATCAACATTAGTAGATAAAAATCTTGTGCAATGGGAGTTCACATGAAACTCGCACGGATCATATCGGTGAGAACTGACGGCATCACGCATAAAGCCAGGGATATGGGAGAGAGTAACAAACTACGGGTCTCAGATGCTTTGATCACGCAAACTTTGGCAGAACGAAACTCACTTTACCGTCCAACACCTCCCAAGCAGACTTGCAGCAACCGGCGCAATCAACAACATCAGCAATCACGGTGCAGCTTCCCGGTTGTAGTGCCCGAGAGTAAACCAACCGGACGTCATGTATAGATAGAGGGATGTGGACGCGTTTGAGCAATTGAGAATGCTCCGGAGAAGTGGCGGATGACCACGATTTAGACATTTGGAATGCTTCAGCCAGCGTTTCGTCTTTTGCCCGCTGATAAGCACGCCGAGCACTTTCTAACCAGCCGCTTTCGGACTCCTCGCAAATGACTTGTACCGAATGTTCACCAAGACAGTGACGAAGAACCACGGTGAGGTAAATGCCATCTGGGCGACAATAAACAAGGACAGCACAATCGCTGGCCCCCGATAGCGTAATAGAGGTACCAGACAGGCGTACACGCGGAGGAAAGAGCGCCGGCTGCGCAAAACCGGCATAGGAGAGTGTCCTTAGTTCCAAGTGGAATGTGAAGTCATCCTTCTCCACATTCTCTTGGTAAGGGAGAAAGACTTGCTGAAACTGGACTTGCGCAAATGAGTCTGCATCAAAGTCGCCAAAGTATCTGAAGTAGTTGGAGTCGAAACAACCCAGAGTGATACTGATCGGTGAGGAATTGTCCAAAAGGCGACATGGCAACCTGGCTTTATAAAGCCACGCAGACTTGCGGCAGGGGATAATCGGCAGCCATATTTGAATCCCATCATTGCTAAGGGTAAATGTCCTGAGATGTTCGGGTGGAAACTTGTTTAGTTCCTCTTGAGGGATTTCCTTCGAAAGGATTCCGACGAACTCATCGCGCTTCATGGCGATGACCTTGTCACAGTCCGAAAAGCAACTAGGATCATCTGCTAGGAAGTTTTTTGACCATCCAGTTTTCACCGACCAACCCCACGCAAAGATAGTCTGGTCATTTAACCTCCGGATGATTTCCTCTTGAAGGCGACGGAAAGCATGCTTCCCCTCCCCGTATAGCATTGGCATATGCACGCCAAGCATACCCAGCAACGAATACGCTCGGTCCTCTATTCGTGTCGTCCTGCGATTTGCAGCCCAAGACATTATCTGGGCAACACTCGGACGAAGACGCCACGACGACAGTCCATCTGTCAAGATACAATCTGGGATCTTTGTGATTCTTGACAACTCCCCCGTAAGGGTTCGCTTGGTTCCGATGTGGTCCCACGCTTGGTTGAAGAAGTGAACGTCGTCGGGCGCAACAAGCTCTTGTAGAGTCCACCCACGTGAGAACCACATTGGCCACCCATCGAACGCCATCCAACTCTCTTCTTGTTTCTTGGGGAATTCAAGAGTACGCACGTCGTGGAGGTATGCATAACACCGCTCGGACTTGGCATACCAGTGGTACATCGAATTGATTGCTTCAGATAATTCCGAACTGCTGCGTTTGTCAATACAGCAAGTATCCACCCAAACCCATCGGAGGTTATTGCTATGAGCTTGTTTGCAACTCCCGAGGATTTTCTGGTAGCCTTTGCGTTTGCGCAACTTCAACATGTCTCTATCTGTGTTCTGCAGTTCTTCAGTGTCCATGTTCTGCAGCTCTTCGACGTCCATGAACTGCACTTCCTCCTCAGGTGGGCCCCAGCAGTGGGACAATATGGCATACTTCGTGTTTGCAAGCAACGGTCCAGTGAACTCCACCAACGGCTTGGTTCTCCGCAGTGGTTTCCCCTCCTCAAAGTTTAAGAAAAATAGTACGTCAATCAAGCGCATGGTGCTGGTACACACACCTTAGCGTCGATCAGTCATTCCCAATTTCTAAAAACTTACCGTATTGATCAGTCGTACCAAGCGCTCCCACCTCGATATGGTTCCTTATCTCCCGAACCGCCTGAATTCCGGTAAGACGCTATCAGCGACGAAGGTAGAAAAAATGTGAATGGACCTGACAAGACAAATGGCAATTGCAATTGACAACGTTGAATGCGGTGGGACTTATCGACATCATGCTAAAAATATGTAGTGCACGAGGCTTGAGCGCTTGAGCCACACATGAGGCAGCAGGCGTGGCTGCGTACAGGAATACGCTACATACGTACATCTAGCAGTGAGTCTGCGCCCCTCGCTATTACTCCTGATCCGCTGCTACATCAAAGGGAAACATATACCCCAGGGTCGGGAACTTAGAGCTTGCGCGCTATTATTAGGTAGGCGCGCTTGGTGAGTGCGGCAATGTAGAACATTGGCCACGCTAGACGCCTCCAAAGCCCGCTGCCAGGAAGCCAGAAAGAACTATATGTTTGTAGAGCAATTACCAGCCATGCGGTCACGAGAGTTAGCGCGACCGTGGCCTCTGCGAAGTGGCGAAGAGTTTCGCGACTACCAGGATTGATCTCCACAACGTTCATTTCGAAAACCTTCTGGGAGGGGGGTAATATGTTACCTCATAGTTAGGCAAGAATTGCATGCTTACTGCCATAAAGATTCCAGGGAAGAAGACCATTGCGAAGTAGGCGAACTGCATAAGCTATCAGCGATGCAGCATCGGATCCAACAAATTCACTTGCTAGCTGCATGTCATGTTTGGATCTCCTGGTTAATCTTTGCAATGCCCTACTGTCTTCATGATGGATGGTTGCAAACGCCTAATGGCAACTCAGTAAAGCAAATTATGGGTAACACAAACACCAACTAGCTCCGTGATATTCCTCAAACGAGCGGATTGCATGAGTATTTGGTAACGTAGCTGGCGTATTTCACGCGACAGTTTGTCAGCCTCGCTTTTTACAAATTTTGTAGACTCCTCTCGCTCTGTTTCAGCTTCCATCACTGGATTTGGCAGCCATTTTATGAATTCAACGGACTCGTGGAATTCCAGAAGCAGCTGCTGATAATAGGACAAGTGCGCTTGTACTTCATGACGTTTACAAGCCAGTGGGTGTATATCAGCGGTTTCCAAAACTCCATATTCCTAAACCACCATCTAAAGGGATGAAAGAACAGACAATCACGGCACTTACTAGTTTGTCGATGTAACGGTGTATCGCTTCGAATGCCTCGTCCCATGCATACATGGCAAAGTATAGTATAGCAAGAAAGTGGTATGTCGGATCTTTCGAGTTCGTGAAGGTCTTGGACCGGTGCATATTATCCCAAGTTCTTTGCACGAATGACTGAATATGCGTTCCAGATGTCCTCTCCGAATTAGGCAAAGAGTGACATGATATGATGGTATTGCATCTCCTTGAGCGGACCATGTGGATAGCCAGAAGGTCCTGAAACACAATCCCATCAACTAGAAATCACTGCCGCTTCAGAATAGGTAGAAATTTGAGGTATTCCATTGCTTACTTAGGTCCAAGGGTACTTGAGGATCAATGTCTTGAGCCTCTAGAAAGGTTCAGGCCATGACTACATGGCTTACATGAGTAAATGATATGCGTACCATTGGATGGATCACCTAGTGATGAGCTAGCTTCAGGCTTCTGCATCGTGCGAACAAATGGGAGAACAACGGTTATATCTGTGTAACGCATGAGTGATTCGAAATGACACCATGAATATACTGACGGTCTTCGTGGCCAACATTTTCTTGATATCGTGAAGGTACCCAGTTTGTCAAGGAAGAGAAAAACGAAGGTTCAATTTTGTATCTAAAGAGATAATTGAATCGTTGTAAAGGGGGAAGGAATAAAGCAAAACCCACGCAGTTCCCAGCATCTGTAAGACAGACATGGATAGATTTTCGACAAAAAAAGCCCTGATTCGAACGCCATCTGGTAGCTGTTTACAGACAACTGAGCCAATCCTGAATGAGGATGCAGAACAATCCTCACTGGCTGCTGCAAGGTTTTCCAGAATGCTTGTGCGTTGACATTATCAGCGGCGATGTCCATAGCAGAGGCTTTGTTGCAATGTCCGTCATCGCTCACGTCTACAATATAAACTGAACAGAGCTGAGAGTGTGCGCAACTAGTAAACATCCCGCTCTCCCGAACTTGGTCTGGCGCCAAATCCTTGGGTACGTTCTGAGGGTATTGCCTCCATGAATCCGTGGAGAACATGAATCCACCGGGAAAAAAGATTTCACTGTCATCCACATCAGGATCCATCCACGGCCATGGCGTAGAACGGGCAGCATAACGATAGCTGTGTCCATCTCATCAATCCTCTAGGTGTGCCTAGATGGAAAAGCAGACTAACGGAGGTACTGGCGCCCTAAGCCTCGAGATATCAGCCTGCGTGCTGCCTGAACGCTCCTCGTTTCCACGAACACTGGCGAGGACGGTAGGAAACATGCGGTCAGCCATAAGGTTAGGGAAAAGAGAGGAAGCAGTACTTCCCCCGACAGCAGCGAGACTCATAAGTTCCATAGCTTCTCGCCTGCTGCTATTACATAATAATGGGCCTCACGCTCGGGTACAGCAAGACCCCTGTTAGTACCCTCTGGTGCGAGATATCCGCCCACCAAGCCATTCACCTTGCAACGACCCCAATGCGCAAAGATCGTTCGTTGCCATTAACGACACACGTACGTATCGTGTAACCCGCTTGCCGATACCGCAACTGAGGTCGTTGGGGATAATCACGAATACAATGAGGTGAGTCTTGTAGTCTACATGTTGATATCGCCAAGGGAGGAAACATGTAACTGGGAAAGGCATGCTGGAACCATTGGCATATATACAGGAATCCACTTTATAGTCTGAAATGATGGAAGTTGAAGCAATCGAGATTTATATCGATTGGCGCCGTGGCGCGAAGATATTGGAGGAACGACATATCTGAATCCCGTCATTACTATTAGTGGGAATAGCGGATGTCCGGAAGACGTCTGAGTGGCGAGGCCAGGATTTCTTCTTCCGGGACGTCCTCCGCAGGAACTTGAATCAATTCGTCACGTCGAATCTTGATGACTTTGGCGAGATCTGAAAAGTAAGTCGTGGTCGTCAGCCAGAAATTGTTTGGTTCTCCGGTTTTCCCGGGCCATCCAAACGAAGCTGACCAGGTCATTTGGCCTCCAGATCATTTCTTCCTGTAGACGGCGGAAAACGTGCGTTCCCTCTCCACGCATACTCATGAACGAATACCCTGGTCCTCTTCACGCGATGTCCTGTCCCTGACCACGACGAAGATCTACGAAACACCCGGGGGGATGTGACCTGACAAGAGTCCATTCTGCGAGGCACCGTTCCGAACACTTGCAGAATTTTCTTTCGACCAATATGATTATGCTCTTGGTTGAAGAGGCCGCCAATTAAGCTCCGACATGCCTCTCCTATTTCTCGGGAAACTTGAGAACATGCACGTCGTGAAGGCACGCATAGCATCACTTCAAAATACGATCAGTATATCGAGCCAATTGCTTCAGATAATCCCGTGCTGCTTCATTTATCAATTTTATTACTCTTGTCAGGTAAACCCGCATACCTCGATAGCCCAAGGCCAAGTGGTGGTAGTGCTGGGGGACATGGTACCATTAATCCCAACCGTCCAAACGCCGGTAGGGAAAGACGAAATGATACGGGGGGGGAACGTCAACATACCTAGCGCACCACGATCTGTAGTACAGTCACCATTAAATATTGAGACGCCATGGAAAGCGTGTCGCCCAAGAGTGCACAGTCGAAACAGTCACGTGACGGTACCACTTGTCGCTTGCTTGCTTGCGCGCCCTCGACTGCAGGGGACGATGTCGACAAGCTTCACGTCGTCCTTCTCCGCTCGCCCGTCGCCCACGGTTCCCCCTGCATCGCAGTCTTATGAACCCCTCGTCAAGGCTGTCCTAAAGCACCGCCTAAATCGTAACATCTTTGCGTTCTCGGCAGCCTTTTCGCTCGGATTTCACATTCTCTTTTGGAGCAGCGATGACTCTAGTCTCTCTGCGCGGCTCCTCAGTCTGAGCGCCTGGCTCGTTGCTTCCCTAGCGTGGCTCGTGGGCGTACTGCCTATAATCGTGTCGAGAAAGTTGAACCTCACCAGTCTGTATATCTCTGCCATTATTCTTCCATTATTCGTCTGACGGGAGTTTTCTAGCTCACAGTACGGTGGCGCCCTCTCCCCGGGGAACACTAGCGGGCGCTCTGTCCAAGTCCAGCACGTGCCGCATATTAACCGTGTACACCGCTTCCGCTTTGTTGCTGTTGTCGCTGCATTTGTATAGTGAACCTGCCATCCGAGAAAGCTTGAATATGAGCGTCTTCGTGAAATCAAGGTGAGTATCGCATGGTCATAGATATCCGAAATGCGTGTTCGATCGTCGCACCAGAAAGCACCCTCACTACCTCAATGGTTCCTTCATCTTCCTCGTCACGGCACAAGCATGGTTCGCACTCAGTTTTTTCCTTCGGAATATCATGCTAGAACGTTTCGTGTTCCGGTGGTCACGAAATGCGCCGTCGAATCCTGTGAGTTACTTTCAGAGAACGCTGTGCCCTGATGTTCACATACTTCCCCAGCCCAACGTCTTCATAAATTTTCCTTTACTCCTCGTAACTATCGGACTCTTCACCCTAGTTACGTTCACCGCATACAACGTGGTATTTGGTATCATGAGAGTCTTTGTCTTACCTATCCTTCTTCGAATACCTCTCATGCGGAGTCTACTACGACCCTTTGTTGCCCATTTCATTCGAGGTCCATGGACGCTCATCCTGCCACTGCGCCACCTTCGTCTGGAGTTCCGCACGTTTCTGCTTGGACTTATCACCCTAGCCAATTGGGAATTTGCAGAGACGCTCTTTAACTTGCACATTCCTCAGGTCAGTCAAAGTCTGTGCAACCCACCCAACTTGTGATGAACCATTTTTTTTGTAGCCAATCGACGTTTCACATACCACTGCAGAACCAAACGTGACGTTGATATCTGGTGTTACATCCACTGATCTCGTCTTCCTGCATTTCGCCTACTCTGAACTACGCAACCTCGCCACGGATAGCAGCCCATCTAGCAGCACCCGTCGAATCGTACTATTCTCAGACCAAAAGTACAACCCCAAGCTTGTGGAGCACGCTCGCCCGTGCCGCGCTTCTTCGTCTTGGTCATGACTACCAAACCCTCTTACAGCCGAGGCAATCCAGCACCTCCGTCACCTCCGCCACCAGTCGCAGCACCTGCGACAGTTTCCAATCCGCCTTCGACGCCTATCCTCCGTCAGCCGATCTATAAACCCTTTGCGACAATCGCCCCTCTCGCGTGTCCTTAATTCGCTAGGCTCCGACTCTGATCCTCTCAAAAGCGACAGAAGGAGGTCGCCAAGGAGGTAGAAACCCTTGCAAAGGATGTGCATGTTCCCGAACTATTCCGTTCGGTAACCGCCTATGCCACTTCTGCTGTCCCTGCGTCGTCTGCGGCTATCAGTGTAGCGCAGAATCCTCCCACGAGCCCTAGCTCCCTCATCACCTCTATCAAACAGGGTTGCTGTGGTCATTTGGTCAAGTATGCGCCTCCGCGGTCCAGAGAGATATGTACGCAGCTGAACGAGTGGCTCGCGAGGGAGCGAATACATAAGCGTGCCGAGATGTCTCTTCCGAACCGAGAACTAGATGCGCTCGTTATAGAATGTAAGTGTCAAGAGATTGCATCGTCTTGTATATATATATATATATATTCTGACAATCCATCTGACAGCACTTTCTGCACTCGTCTGTGCCTCTCTCACGGAGGACAGATACGGTGTAGGTTCAGCGCGATATTCCCCGTATACTAGAGGCATTTTTATCTCTCCTCCAGGCTGCCGAGGATTACCAAAATGAAGTTCGCGTACTCTACGTACCCCCTACTCCAGAGGAGCTGTACCCAAGCGGATTCTGCTGTCCTCCACCAAAAAGAGAGTACCCGTGTTGAAGTTGCAAAAGCCTCCGAAGCAATAAGCGTCGTGGGTGATGGTATGTCCTCTGCCTTTCTATGGATTTATGAGTTTCAGGAGCAGCTGACGAATATTGTCTTGCCAAGCTTTGAAATCTGGCATTTCGGATATCGTCCGGACGTTTGGAGATAAGTTGACTGCATTCAAGTTCCCTCCGAAAACTGCGAGGAAGCTGCAGTCTTTTGTAGATTACATCTAATTGCGTTACCGAGTTCGAGGGGCTATGAGAAGTAATACTACATGACGTAGCAGGTTTTTTGTTGGTTCCCTGAGCACTGCTTGATTTACAGAACTGCCAAGTACCTTGAAATTCGTACGGTTCAACGTACGTTAGGCAGTGCTGTTACTTCCCGAGCTGATAGCAACTCTGACCATTCACAGCTGTCTTTGCTTTGAGAAGTAGCGGGGTTTCGATCGGCATTCTTGGGGTGTTTTCTATATCACCATCATGAAATCCACCAGAGTCGTCGTTCGAAAGACTAGAAGGAATTTAGCTTGGATGATGTACAACATTACGACCCTCACGAGAACTTCCATGGGCATAAACCTGGCAAGAGGTGAGATTGCATCGCACATTCAGCGGTCGACGTAGACCTAGCAGTAGTAGAAACTCGTGTACATTTGCCCTTTAGGCAGCTCATTACCACTCATCTCAAGTACATTAGAATTACACACACCCAATCCTCCTCTCACCAGGCCATCATCGCTGTGATCTCACCACCATCAAGACGGTGCACGCAGTGCATCGTCACGATCGTTTTTATCGCCACTTAGACTACGGAAGAACTCGGCGTAGGCGTAGTCAACGTCGAAAAGAAGCTGGTAATACTTCTTGATTAGATGGGTGAAACGGATGCGGAAATCTGAATGGACGTACTTGTCTTGATTGTTCCTCTGTTAGCTCTTCCGAAGCTTTCATTCCGTTGAGGGTGATCAACCTTTTCGTGCGTGCGAGTGAGGTGTGTTAAGGAGGAAGTAAAGAACGGATTCGAGCGCACTTACCACCCGACCATGCGACTTCTTCCCTCCCATTCCTTGCTCCCTTTAAACCTCGCATACCCCGTAACGAGTTCTTGAAGGATAGGATGCAGCTGATCTTTTGCGCGCAGACGTAACTTGAGTGCGTCCATGAAGGTTATGAAGTTCTGTGCGTTACATGTTTAGTGCGAAGATCGAGCGTGCAGTGAGACGCGGAGAAGTGGAAAATAGGTGAGCAGAGTATCGAAGAATCTCCCTACCTGTGTCGTTTCAGCTATCCATTTTCCAGTCTCCGGACCAGCCTCGCTCGAATGTTCCACCGTAGCGGGCACCCCTACCTTGATCCTGTGCAACGCAGCAGGCGTATCAAGCTATGTCAATGCCGCACGTACAGAACAAGATCAAAACGTCGGGTGAAAGGAGAAGGAGGAGGAGAAACGTGACTCACGCGATAGCGGGTCATGAACTCCTCGATCGACGGGATCGAATCCTTGACCAACTTGACCATCGTCATATACTGCGACAACAACCTCGTGCATGCAGGCGAGTACCTCTCGTGGCATATCTCAGTATGTACGAGCTCCACATTGAACCGACCGATAGGATGGATGGAATTGGTAAATAGTGGTGGGACTCACTCAGCGGCAGTAATTGAATCGCGGACGTATGCGCGTTCCAGAAAGTCCAGTGCGACTACAATACCGAAGAGTGTAGCTAGAAGAGAGTATTTCTCCCGTTCTGCGTTGGTGGTGTAAAGTCGGACCTCTTCGTCGAGGGACAGCATCGCCGTGGTTATGGCAGTACCCAGGAAGTGTACAAAGCTATGCCAACTCAGCAGCAGAATGTCAGGGATATACGCCTGAGATCCCCAGGAGTGATGGTAATAAGGCAGTTAGATAGACAGAGATGTCGTGACATCCACTAATGACAACATTGAAAAGCATAGAGTCGTATCGTATGTAGTCCGAGAATAACAAAGAAAACGCGAGACTGGTATAAGTATATGTGCGGCCAGCACCGTCCATCATGCATCAAGCCTGTTGAGCACTTGCCACCGCTCTCTTCAGCGCCTCCAGTTCTTGGAGCAACTTCGCATTTGCTTCCTCTGCAGCCTGGCGTTGCTCGCGTTCTCTCTGCCTTTCCTCCTCTGCGGCCTGGCGTTGCTCACGCTCTCTCTGCCTTTCCTCCTCTGCGGCCTGGCGTTGCTCACGCTCTCTCTGCCTTTCCTCCTCTGCGGCCTGGCGTTGCTCGCGTTCTCTCTGCCTTTCCTCCTCTGCGGCCTGGCGTTGCTCGCGTTCTCTCTGCCTTTCCTCCTCCGCTGCCCGTGCCCTTTCCTCGGCCGCCTCGCGTTGCTCGCGTTCACGTTGCCTCTCTTCCTCTTGCTATTCGGGTCATCGTAAACACGGATAGTGAACAGAAATCAAAGACAAGTTACCTCTTGTTTAAGCCTGCGTTCCTGTTCAATTTCCTCGGCCAAAGCAGCTCGAGCTTCACGATACTTAGCGCACACCTCTTCCCCGCTCGCCTTGATAGCCACTGGTACCCCACAAATTGTACCCCCCCGATGGGTCCGGTTATCTTGCATGGCACCCTTGTATAGCATCTTGAGAGCGTCAAACACAGTTGCAGCGAACCAGTAGCATTGTGTTCGGGCAATGGCGTACTTGGGCTCCTGTGTCGAGGTTACATAAAGCAAGGTCGCTAGCTCGTTTGCAGTGGGCTTTGCGCCAGTAAACCGTAAAGTACAGAGACGTTGAGGCTTGTCGCACATCTCCTCCACCCGAGCGCCTGCTGCACTAATCCGCGTTGCAAAATAAACGCGATCACAGGCGTCCCGCTCGGAACTGGAGGAAAGAGAAGCTGCAATTTGAGCTGTATGCAACTTCTTCATTTTTTTCCTGTTTCTCTTAGTAACTTTGTCTAGCGGAGGACCGCTTTCGTCGGCACTACTTGCAGTGGAATCGCCGACATCAGGAGAGCGTGCAGAAGTCTCTGGTGGAGTGGGTGGCGACGCCGTGGCATCTACCACTGTGTCCGCTGGAAGATGGGTATCGGCAGTTTGTGGGGGGTCTACAGAATTGTCAGCGGCTTGAGTTACTAACGAACGTGAGCAGAAGTACCGTAGTTTGGATTGCGAACACCACCACTCCTCTCGGCAATGATAATGGATGTGTGCTGATTGTCGGGGGAAGAGATGTCAAACCGCAGGAACTCATGCTCTACCCCTTTCCGCATCTTGTACCAGCCGACCCTGATGACTTGACAATCCGACGTAAGAGGGTTGTTGCGGATGACGGAGTACCACCCGCGGACGTTCACAAGCCCGTAGGACTCCTCATCGAACAAACCTTCAATCTTTGGAGCTTCCGAGACCATTTTGAGCAAGCGAAGGACTCGATGGAGAAGTCTGCGTAGTTTTCTGAGTATGATCCTGTTGTAGAGGGGCATCTTTATATGAATGGCGATCGCAGCGAGATGGCTGGGATGTTGAACCACGGCTGGAATTCCTACTGCACAGCTCCTGATTACATAATGCAATTGATTGCGCGAGCCTTGTCCAGCTATTATGGCAACAATAATAAGGATGACTCTCGTCGTACTGGATATCGACGTTGTAACCTACCTTCCATTCGTGGATGTTGCAATACTCATACCCTCCACGCCATGGCAATGTGATTCGGGTGTTGCCCGGAGCCCGACCTCCAATTGATCGTTGCTTTGGCACACGTTCGTCACTCTGTCACAAGAATATTTCTTTGAGTAGTGAATCAATTCTCACAGACATATGATACATTTGTGCCAACTGCAGAGGATGAATCGATGATAGCCCAGGCAGTGGAGGGATGTCAGGACTATGAACATTGACTTCACTGATAGACCACGGATCTAAACTATGGTATCAGAGGAGATAACCCGCCGGGACAAGGAAGCTCGTGGATGGCACGAAAGGCCGCGGACATCGGAGGCCCATCTTGTTGCTACGGTGACATGGTATAAAGTACCGATTGCAACTCAGCGAACAAGGGGCAAGGGAGGTATGTACTTATGTCGTGCGTGCTGTGGGTGGGTGATCGTGTTACATACATCAATTCAAGTGAAAGCAAAACAACAAAACACCGGTGAGCAAGAGAGATCCGAAGGCTGCAGCCGCAGGGTAAAAAGTACAAGGACTGTTCGTAAGGCGCTCGACGATGGCACAAGTCGTGTATGAGACCACTTGTGGTTCAGGTATTTGATCAACGCGGTATCCATAGGAAACCCCAGAGAATGAGTAACATGCCATCGAAGTTGCACCGCTTCACGGTCTCTCGTGCATCTAGAGGATAAAAAGAACAAGTCCACGGTGTGTACACAATTGCGTTTCGATGGAGATATGTACATAACATGGTGAGAACCCAGGGTCCGAACCCAGTCCTTCGAGAAGGACATGCCTGGTAGGGAATCTGATTTGGAATCGATATGGCATACTGGGACAAGGACGGTTCGTAATAATAAACTGTAACGATAAGAATTCCCTGCAGAAAAAAGGCCACTTCGGTGCCTCCGTACCGATCTACGGTACGAAAATACTGTCATGCTGTATGGCTACAGCCTGTGCATGTCTCAGGAATGTCAATCAATGGCAGCTCGGCATCGAGAACAAAAAACTCACTTACCGCATATGCATGGACTTTGTAGCTCGCAAAACCGAGTCGCAATTTACGGACAGACCATCCTAGGTCGCAGGCAAAAGAGCTGAAGCGTCGCCGCTGGACGGGGACAAGGCAATCACGAGTGATTTTCAGGCATACGACTCTCAACAACGTTTCAACTACGAAGGACGTGAAAATCAAGGCTCACATGGTCCTAAGAGCGGATGCTCAGCATCCATCTCAGCCCGCTTCTCAATTTCGCACGCGATGACAACGTAAATTCGACAGATGCATCGCGGTCGCGTTGGCCGTCCGTACCCATACGTAACAGAATGACAATCCCCGCAATTGGGGTGTTCCAGTCGACGATGGCCGACGCATCCCAGAAGTAACGGAGTTAGGGGAACGAACTAAGAGTGGCATACCCCTTTGTTTTTCGACCGTAGACCCACCAGAGCAGGCGAGATTGGGGAGGGGATAGTTGCATCGCCATAGAAAAATAGTCACTGGCGTCGAAGACGAGGGAGGCGGTCGTCTGCGCAAGAATCAAGGGGGAGAAAGTGGAAGTACAGCATCACAGTCTCTGAGAAATGGGATTTGTTTCGATCGTTGGGATCAGCTCGGATGGGGCGTCAAGCATAGTAGACGGTGGGAGGGAGAGTTTGACAGCGTCTCAATTTCATGGCTTTCAGTGCTCAATCAGCGTATGGGATTCAAAGATTGTTTGCCAGGGAATTTCATGGATACAACGGAGATAGCATGCCCAAATCACCGTAGACAGCCTCCAGAAGGCTGCACTCGAAGGAAAAATTGTACTCGTTCAATAGATTGTGTAAGCAAGCTGAGGCTGTGGCGCCGCCGCGTCTTCCGAAGTTCCCAACCTTACATCCACATCCTGCTTATGATAATTGTATCGACTGGACGACCTAAGAAAACACGGAAATCACCTACCGCGGAAGGCAATGTTGTCGCCAATACGTGTCATGTCTCGCTGGCATCAGAAATTAGCATCGCAGCCAGGGTGAGAAAAAAGTCGTCGACAACACGCGTCGTGGCTGTATCGGGTGGCTATTGTCTCGCTGACCTGCTAGTTCTCCCGTCGAAGTCATATGCCTTTACTTCAAGGACGAGTACGATTGGAGGGCCGTGCATGACGAGCAGTTCAATGCTGCTGCGGTGTGTTCCCATTTTAGTTTCGAGCCCGTGGCGGTCACCCCTTCTTGTCCTTTGCATATTGGACGTACCTCATCCCAAGGCCGAAGAGCTCCTCACAAATCGTCGCTGGTATGCGATCCCATCAAAAATTAGAGTGGTCAACTCGTTGATTAGGAAACGACCGCCACTGGTTGATCGCTCGTCCACCGAACTCTTGCTACGTGTTAGGTACCCAAGCAGAGCCTGGTAAGGGGAAGCAAGATGTCGGTACAGCGCTGCGCGGCTGGAGGGATATCGAAGCTCCCAACCCCGCGGGGCCACATCGGGCGTGTGACGATAACAGCATAGCAGTCTAGAAGACTCGTTTAAAGAGGAGCGGGTGTCACCTAATCAACGTGCTGGATTGGTCGATACTGCGGTTCACGACCCAAGCCGAAGGTGGACTGCATCTTGGAACTCTGGATATCGTACTGACCGCTCAGGATTTGAAAGTGGCAAATGGTTTTCGACGTTCGCATACTAGAATGATGTTCCCGTCCTACCAGGCGCTTCCCTTGCGTTTTTTCGTGAAAAGGTTTCCCTTGCATGGTGAGGGACGTGAGATTTTTCGAAGTCGACAAGGTCCGCCTCGACAACCCGCCATGCGGTGGCTATCAATCCATAGGAGTCGCCTCTCTGCCCTAACTGTCGGGTTCTCCAATTTCAAAATGTGAATCATTTGCCATGCGATAACCTCCGATCCAGAATTTTATGCCGCGTGGTCGTCCATTGATGGTATGTCCAAAGAACTGTGGTTGCTGGAGCGTGTGGGGGAGCTTCAGGGGTTCCAGGGTCTGTTCATCAATGTGGCTTGTTTTGTATTCGACTAAGCGCTGAAGATCTATTAAGGCAAGTTCATATCCACCATAATGTTCGAACGTTCTCTTCGTGACGATCTTTGCAACGAATCGAACGAGAATTTGGGACAACACCCACCTGCGGACCGTGCGTACGAACGATCGACGAGAATCTGAATTGAATATACTTCTCAGAAGTAGAAGCAAGCGCCTAGGTGTTATACAAACTAGGAATCAAGTCTACGGTACCAATAAAAGGCACCGACAACGTCCTGGTACAAGTTGTCCAAGTGAAGATTTAACAAGAAGACCAACTGGTCCATGTCCAGAACTCGATATACTGCCATGAAATGCAGACAAGGTCTTTTATTCCGTGTGCTGCTGTTCCCTGCTAACATACCGCTCGCAAGGTTAACTGCGCCGTCACCTCCCATCCTCACAAGCCACATTCACTGGCGGGCACCTCAACGGCAGTGACCTCTACTCTCCCTAACGCGTTTGCCTGCCCGTTCGTCAGTACGTTCATCGCCTGCGTTGACACCGTAAACCCATCCTTCGACACATCCAGTGCAAGGACATTGATAGTGTTCTTTGCATACGTGATGGCATAACATTTGCCACAGTTAGCGTTGTTCCAGTTTGCGATGGTTGGTGCGCCTCCGAGGTAAGGGAAGTTGGAGAAGGAGCTAAGGGTGGCGTACCCTTTGCTTTCGAGTCCGTTGGACCCGTCAGAGCAGGCGAGACTGGAGAGGGGACAACTGGCATCGCCGTAGATGGCGTCATAGGCGAGAAAAGTGAACATCTGCCCGAGAACAGGCGTGGAGAGGAAGAAAGCAAATGTGAAGTAGAGGTACAGCATTGTCTGTGGATGGCACTTGTCTCGGTCGCAGGGATGAGGTCGGATGAGGAATTAGGCCTGGCAGACCGACAGAGGCACGAGACTGGTACAGTATCACGTCGTCGACGCCTTTATTTATTTTCTTATTGCAGGATTAGGCTTACGCTGGCAGACGGTCATATGGGGATCCACGTGCATGATCCTCGTTTCTCCGGCACCTGTGGAACGGCGGGGATGAGCGGAGTACATGGTACCTTCGCGCTCGAGAATGTGATACAAACCTCGCTGCGAGGTGGATATGCTTTTCAGTTCCTTCTTTGGGGCACGCTCAAGATGACTTGGCATGTGAAGAAGTGTTTGGTAAGAAGTCCAAACAGTAGGACTTCGGGAGGCTCACCCAACTATCGCATCAAAAAGCAGTACATATCTGTTCCAGGTCCCTCCATTGAACGACAGGGAGCGCTTATTCGCGATGGGACACGTCCGCGTAGTGTGCTCGACCTCCTCCGAGGCTTTCATCCCGTTGAGGGTGATCAACCTTTTGGTGCATGCGAGTGAGGTGTGTGAAGGGCGAAGTAAAGAACGATTCTGAGAGCACTTACCACCTGACCATGCGACTTCTTCCCTCCCATTCCTTGCTCCCTTTAAACCTCGCGTACCCCGTAACGAGTTCTTGAAGGATAGGATGCAGCTAATCTTTTGCGCGTAGACGTAACTTGAGTGCGTCCATGAAGGTTATGAAGTTCTGTGCGTTACATGTTTAGTGCAAAGATCGAGCGTGCAGTGAGACGCGGAGAAGTGGGAAATAGGTGAGCAGAGTATCGAAGAATCTCCCTACCTGTGTCGTTTCAGCTATCCATTCTCCAGTCTCCGGACCAGCCTCGCTCGAATGTTCCACCGTAGTGGGTACCCCTACCTTGATCCTGTGCAACGCAGCAGGCGTATCGAGCTATGTCAATGCCGCACGTACAGAAAAAGATCAAAACGTCGGGTGAAAGGAGAAGGAGGAGGAGAAAGGTGACTCACGCGATAGCGGGTCATGAACTCCTCGATCGACGGGATCGAATCCTTGACCAACTTGACCATCGTCATATACTGCGACAACAACCTCGTGCATGCAGGCGAGTACCTCTCGTGGCATATCTCAGCATGTACGAGCTCCACATTGAACCGACCGATAGGATGGATGGAATTGGTAAATAGTGGTGGGACTCACTCAGCGGCAGTAATTGAATCGCGGACGTATGCGCGTTCCTGAAAGTCCAGTGCGACTACAATACCGAAGAGCGTAGCTAGAAGAGAGTATTTCTCCCGTTCTGCGTTGGTGGTGTAAAGTCGGACCTCTTCGTCGAGGGACAGCATCGTCGTGGTTATGGCAGTACCCAGGAGGTGTACAAAGCTATGCCAACTCAGCAGTAGAATGTCAGGGGTATACGCCTGAGATCCCCAGGAGTGATGGTAATAAAGCAGTTAGATAGACAGAGATGTCGTGACATCCACTAATGACAACATTGAAAGCATGGAGTCGTATCGTATACAGTCCGGGAATGACAAGGAAAAAGTGAGACTGGTATAAGTATATGTGCGGCCAGCACCGTCCATCAAGCCTGTTGAGTACTTGCCACCGCTTTCTTCAACGCCTCCAGTTCTTGGAGCAACTTCGCATTTGCTTCCTCCGCTGCCCGCGCCCTTTCCTCGGCTGCGCGCCTTTCCTCCTCGGCTGCCTGTGCCCTTTCTTCGGCTGCACGCCTTTCCTCCTCCGCCCTTTTCGCGGCTTCCTCCGCAGCCTGGCGTTGTTCACGTTCTCGCTGCCTCTGTTCCTCTTGCTGTTTGGGACATCATAAGCGTGGACAGTAAATAGAAATAAGAGATGAATTACCTCTTGTTTAAGTCTTTTTTGCTGTACAAGTTCCTCGAGTAAAGCAACCCGAGTTGTATAATACTGGGCACACACAGCATCTACGCTCTCCTTCCTAGAGACTGGCACCCGAGCCCATGTACCCGCTCGATTGTTCTTGGGAGCTCGCTCGGCACCCTCAAATATTGCATCGACAGCCTTAAACACAGTTTCGGCGAACCAGTAACATTGTGTTTTACGGACGTTGTAGTTGGGCTCGTGTTTCGAAGTCAGATGAACCAAAGTCGCTAGCTCATGTGCAGAAGGTTGATGATTTTCACGAAACTCTAGCGCAGAGATACTAGTAGCCTTCTCGCACCTCCGCTGCAGCTGTTCGCCGGCTTGACTATCCCGGGTTGCCCAACTGGCGAGATCGTTGGCATACCGCCACGAGGAACTGGAAGCAAAAGAAGTGGTAAGTCCAGATGAATCCCTGTCCTTCCGTTTTCCCTTCCCGTTGGCCTTGTTAACTTCGCGCAAAGGCGGGCTGCTTTCGTCAGCACTACTCGCGGTGGAATCTCCAGAGACGTCTGGTGGGGTACCAACGACCACAGCAGTCTCTGGTGGAGCAGCTGGCGGCGTGACGGGCCCCGCCGAAGTATCTAATGGAGCAACGCCCTCGGTAGGTTGTGCGGCTCCTGCAGGATTGTCAACGGGTTAAGTCAACGAACTGAATATGAGAATGACCAAAATCACCTTTTGTCGAGTTGGGCTCACCACGACACCTCTCAACAATGACAATAGCGACGTGCTTTCTGTCGGGGGAGAGGACGTTAAACTGCAGGAATTCATGTTCTTCCTTTCCACTCAGGTTTTTATACCACCCAACTTCGGTGACGGAGCAATCCAAGGTGGCCTCACATTCAAGGATACCACGGTACCAGTCCTCGATGGGAGAGAAGGCAAAGGAGGGTCGTTCTAACTCAGTGAATAAACTTCTGATCTTGGGAGGTTCCGGGGCCATTCCGAATATGCGAACGAGTCTTCGGAAATACCTGAGTAGTTTTCTGAACATGGATGTCGCGTGAGGAGCCAACTTTATATAGGACGGGGTCGTGGTAGGTTGGCTGGAGTTGCGGCTGGAGTTTCCTCTCCTTGAGCCTGAACACAATAGTCATCAGTACCATGTGCACAGCTCTTGATTACATAACACAGTTGGACTAACTGACGTTATACCTTGTATAGCAACAAGAACGATGGCCATCTCAGCAAGTACCCTTATTGTAACCTATCAGTCGACCATCCATTCGCAACACGGTGTGCATGTAATATTTCAGTGTTGTACAGGGCCTGAGAAAGGAGTGGTACAAAGAATATCTCCTTGGGCAGCAAGTTAATTCTCAGACATATACACTACACTGGATCCAATTGTGTCAACTGCAGAGGATGAGAGCGCGAGCAATGGACGGATGTCAGGATCTAAACTATGGTATCAGGAAGTAATCCCCTGGGACAAGGAAACTCGCGGATGGCACGAAAGGCCGCGGACATCGGAGGCCCATCTCGTTGCTACGGAGACATTGTATAAAGTACCGATTGCAACCCAGCGAACAAGGAGCGGGAGAGGTGTGTATGTCGTGTGTGCCATGGGCGGGTGATCGTGTTACATACATCAATTCAAGTGAAAGCAAAACAACAAAACACCGGTGAGCAAGAGAGATCCGAAGGCTGCAGCCGCAGGGTAAAAAGTACAAGGACTGTTCGTAAGGCGCTCGACGATGGCACAAGTCGTGTATGAGACCACTTGTGGTTCAGGTATTTGATCAACGCGGTATCCATAGGAAACCCCAGAGAATGAGTAACATGCCATCGAAGTTGCACCGCTTCACGGTCTCTCGTGCATCTAGAGGAGAAAAAGAACAAGTCCACGGTGTGTACATAATTGCGTTTCGATGGAGATATGTACATAACATGGTGAGAACCTAGGGTCCGAACCCAGTCCTTCGAGAAGGACATGCCTGGTAGGGAATCTGATTTGGAATCGATATGGCATACTGGGACAAGGACGGTTCGTAATAATAAACTGTAACGATAAGAATTCCCTCCAGAAAAAATGCCACTTCGGTGCCTCCGTACCGATCTACGGTACGAAAATGCTGTTATGCTGTATGGCTACAGCCTGTGCATGTCTCAGGAATGTCAATCAATGGCAGCTCGGCATCGAGAACAAAAAACTCACTTACCGCATATGCATCGACTTTGTAACTCGCAAAACTGAGTCGCAATTTACGGACAGAACATCCTAGGTCGCAGGCAAAAGAGCTGAAGCATCGCCGCTGGACGGGGACAAGGCAATCACGCGTGATTCTCAGGAATACGACTCTCAACAACGTTTCAACTACGAAGGACATGAAAATCAAGGCTCAGATGGTCCTAAGAGCGGATGCTCAGCATCCATCTCAGTGTCGCAAATTTTCGAGGCGCATAATAATGCCGCCGGCTGACAATGCTCGCGTATTTCCTTATTAGGGTCATTAAAATGGTCTGGTAATGACATGTCAATGGCTTGGGGGCAGTGCCAAGGGAAGAAATTTCATTGGACAGGAGTTACCTGAGTTACTGAGTGATAACAATCTGATAATGACTGATATGGCATGACATTGTCTTACATCAGCTGAACCTGGGATCAAAGGACAAACTAGTCCAGCTATGATACATCTTCTCTCATGGCTCCCTCCTGTACCACCCATTCAGCTTTGACCCATCAAAATGCTGAATGGAATCATGCTGTTCTCCATCAATGCCCTCACTGTAACAGGAAATTTCAGAAAACCAGTTTCAAGCAGCATGAGGTGAGTTGCAGGAAGCACAAAGAAGATGAGAGGGAGCGTGTAGCTTTCAAATGTCACTATGAAGAGAAACAACTTTTGGAGGATGACGAGCTGCAGGATTGTCAAGTCTATAGAGAGGAATATACTCAGACTTCAAGTTGGTTGAAGCTAAACAATTAACTACCTATAGAGAGGAATATACTGTAGGTAGGTAAGTAAGTGTTCCAATATAATGAATGGAAGGAGTCCCACCTCAGACTTCAAGTTGGTTGAAGCTGAGGTGCAGTAAGGAAAAAAATAAACTGCTAAGTGTCCGCTTTTGGATTATGTAATGCTGTGCTCGGTGAACCACAACTAAGGTAAAAGTGATAAACTCCAACAACAACAAGGTATGTGAATTGGTGCATAGCACAGGCAGACCCAATGTAATGGTTTCTGGCTTCAATTATTAACTCAGCTGCCCACCATCGAGCTGTGAAAGCATTGGTACTCAAATTGCAGCCTTGAGTGCCCAAAGCTCACTGCACAGATACAGGATATTTTTTCATCGATGAACCTGGTGAGTCTGATTTCCATTTATGTTGTGGTCCTAGTCTCAGACAAACTGTGGCTGCAGTCAAGGTGACTATGGGACAAGATTACAATGAGATGAGCAACATGCACCAAGCCTCAGGTATGTATTCATGTTGCAAATTTCTTGGGCATGTGATAAGAACCTTATAATACATGTTAAGGGTGGCTGTTCACACTTCCATTATAAGCCATGCCAATGCCACCCATGTGTCATTGAAAGATTGCCAAAAATGGGTATATGTACATAATATTTTACACATTTGCACTATATCTTAGATAAAATATCACATATTTGCTATAATCTAGCCAAACCTGACCATTATAATGGCAAGTGGTCCATTACATGCTGCTTACAATGGGGGCACATGACAATGGACCAAATAAATTTGTGACACACTTTGGCACACATTCTCGTAGTGCTCATAATTCCCTCAGACATGTTGATGCCAACTGCCACAAGTTCTAATGTGGCAAAACTTCCTGAATTCAAGATCCAATTTCATCTGAGAAGCAATTGACCACCAATTTATCGGTCTTATGAAGAGTTCTGTGTTTGCAGTGAGAAGTCCCCATCCCCAGTTGACAAAACACCTTGGTCCCCATTTCACATGTTGGGTAACTTTGAGTTTGTGGAAATTGCACTCACTTCACTACTCAACCAGCAACAAGTCAATGCCCTGCTGGATCTCTTTGCTCATGTCACACAGGGAGCTGTCCAAGTCATGCTCAAGAATGATGTCAAACTTTGCAAAGTGTGTGATGCAGCTGCAATGGAACTCACTCCAGTATGATTTTCAGATATCCATTTGTTCATCCTACCTATCTAAATAGTTCTCCAGGGTCAAAGTTAAGGTACCATACAAAAAGGAAGAATGTACATTTGAAGCACATATTCACCCACTGTGGGAGTGGGCACTCGATATCTTAGAAAATCCATTCCTTGGTCTGCACTTCACCTGGGACACACAGTGACTTTACAGGCACAACAGCATTGAGTATGAATGTTTTTATGATGAGCCCTGGACCAGAGATTATTGGTGGGATATTCAGGTATGTGCCTGGTCGATATGTCATTCATTACCCATACATAACATGTTGTATTTGTGCTAGTTGAGTCTACCAAATATCAAGAACACCTTGCCATTTGGCCTGATCCTTTATGCTGACAAATCCAACCTATTGTCTTTTGGCACTGCCAAGAGTTACCCTGTCATTGTGTGCTGTGCAAACTTGCCAGTTGAGATTCAGAATAGCAATGTCATTGGCAGAGGTACTGTTGTTGGCTGACTGCCTATTGTGAATGACATCCACTGTTTAGATATTTGTATAGGCTAAGAACATTTCAGGTCCCTGAAGATGCTGAAGAAGAGGGAAAGCTAGGCTACACAACCCTCAAGCATGTCATTTGGCACAAATCTTTTAAAAAGTTACTTCTGGAGATTGAGCAGTACTTGAAGACTGGGTACATACATACATCTTTGCATGACAACATTACCCATTGGCTCTTTCTGAGTCTTATGATGCTGTCTGCTGATTTTGAAGAGATGTAATATACTTCCTTCTTCTTGCTTGGACTAACAATACTAACTCAATGGCCTACTACAGATGCATGGTGGCACTCACTCATGGTCACAGTGGCAAATGCCCTTGCCCTGTATGTCTTGTACCACCAGAGCTACTCCATGACCTCTCTAGGACTTTTGAACCTCATATGCATGCCCAGGGTATCGATGCATTATGTGTTCGTGCTATGAATTGAGCCAAAGGCAATGAATTGCTGAAGTGGTTAGGTTTATGACCAATCAAAGTAAGTTTCCACCACCAAATCACCATCAGCAAACTAATATATAATGGGATGCAGAATGTGTTCTGGCTGATTGGGTTTTCTGATCTCCACCTTGCCTGCAGCTTTGATTGACTGCATTATGGGCATGGTTTTTGGGGCAAGCATGTCTTTGGGGACCTAAAGGTGATTGTAAAGGTGCTCGGGTGACAGATTGAAGCCAATGTCGAGAAGTAGTGAGTCACTGTTTTACAATCAATCACTCTGAACATTGTCACTTCTCACATTTGACAATGACAGCATTGCAAGTTTTCTTCGCTGCCAAAACCTCACACAGTTCAACCAAGTTATTCATGTCACTTTTTCAGATGGTAACAAGCTGGCTGATATCTCCAAGGTATGTGTGTCCAATACTGGATGGCTGTCAATGAACTGTTTCTCTAGCAAATCTTCTATGCAGGGATCAATGTTTTGAAGAAGAGTACAACCCCTGAAGGGTACCAGCTCCTCTGAGTCATCTGAAGCTACCTACAGCTTGATAGCCTCATTGGCTTAGATGTCCAGACTGAATGTATGGTTAACATGATCAACATTGAAATATTGACATTTGATCAGACACTGAAGGTAGTTATACACTTCATGCTCATGCCAATTTGTCGTAATGTGTCATGAAGTCCAACATTGATGGTCTGCAAACTGACTGGAATTTCCTGAAGGTCCACCTCTGGAAGCATGTTGTTTGAGATATCTGCCCAAAGGGTGCTGCATGCAACTATAGCACTTGGCCCAACAAAAGTATGCATAAGCCAATCTGAGATGCATATGAACACTGTTCAAATGGTAGAGATGTTCCTGCTCAGGTATGACAACTGTGTGTGCCAACACTCCTACTCACAGTCACTTTAAAATGCATGTTAGGTCTTGCAGGTAGATCATCAAGTTCTTGCTATGAAGCTTCTCAGATTGCATGTTGATCACCTTGAGAAATCCATCTCTGGGGAATCAGATCCAGAAGTTGATGCAGTCAGTGAGCATACCTCGGTTGATCATATTAAGCTTGGTGCACATGTTGTTGCAACCCAAACCCTGAAAGACTTGGAGGAAAATGGTCAGCCAGATATGGCGTTCCATTGGTTCTGTCAAAGGTCCTGCAAGTTCCTTAATGACACCCTTCTGGCATATGGATATCAAGTCAAGTCATGGATCTCCCTCCCTGCTGACTTCACAGTATGTATCTACACTCTCATTATGCATTCATCTAGTTGAAATTGTGCTTGTGCTAAGGTTAAAGAATACCATTATCTGCTGGTCAACTATGAGTCAACTGTCACTTGGAACCAGTGCACAGATCATCTCTGCTGCAACCCATCATTTTTTGGTGTGCCCTGCTATGACTGTGCACTTATTCAATACACCAAGACAGAAACTGCCTTTGTTCGTCTCATCTGCATGTTTTCCTGTGTCATTCCAGACATAGGAAACATGGAATTTATCTTGGCACAACCCTTCATGACAAGGATTGGACTGGCCTGCACTATTGATTGTGATCTCAGACTCAAACATGTCAAGACAGTTCCACAGGCTGCATCCATCTTCATACCATTGTGCTTGATCATCCAAGGGGCTGTTCTAGCACCTGACACCGAACATGATGATGAATTTTTTGTTGTTGAGCAGCTTGATAGTGATATGTTCCTATGGACACAGGTGATGTAGGTTACTTACCATCTCTAGTGGCCTTCCAACCAGAGAATTTTGAGCACATTGCAGATGTCTGTTCTGACCCATCACTGTATTGTCCTTTGCAAGCTGTCAACCATCCTAGCAAGGAAACTGAAGACTTGCAACATGCTCAGTAGTAGATCAAAGGTACTTGGGCAACAGATTGAAGCTGGCATCGAGAAATAGTAAGTCATGATTAATACCATTGGCAACCACTCTGGAATGGACGACATCAGATGCATGCCCAACTCTTTTCACCCCTGCTGTGGAGCAAAGTGGTAAGTAGTAGGTGCACTGATGCAGGGAGTCATTGGGGGAATATGGTGAGGTCTGTTTGACTACTCATTATGCCCACCACACAAAACTCAATCTACTGGATGCTGGACAGCAGGCTGCCAGAGTGGACAATGGTCTTGTTTTTTTATGTATGACTACAGAGATATGCTCTGACCAACAAAGTGTTGAAACTACAGGGCAAAGGGATGTATATAGGTCTACAAGGCTATTGAAGCCTCAAAGGTGAAGAAACCATGATTCAGCTCCTCTTCCCTTGCCTAGTCCTCCCTCTTCCATTTTCCAAGGACCTTCTTGACACAACTTGTTCAGCAGGGAAATGGTCCAGCACATAGATGATGGCTTGTAGGGTGTTACAGAAAGTCAGAATTGAATGGAAGTCGATGTCTGTGTCATGCCTAATCATCTCAGTGATGGGAACATCATTGGCTGGGACATCAGGAGGGGGATAAGCATTGAGGGAGAGTAATGCAGGGTCTATGGTGGAGGGCATAGAAATGGCAGCAGGAGCGGCCCATTCAGGGGGCAAACTGTTGGGAGAAAAATGCTAGTGGTGAGTCAATATCGATGGACTAGTACACAAGCAGAACAGAAGACATACCACCAAGCTGTACAAATTGCTGAACATGTCTGTCACTGCCTCAGTGGTCTCAGGCACATCAACAGGTGTCAAAGTGCCATTGGGAATTTTGAATGCATTGGGGGCCATGGGTGGGGCAGGGAAGGGGCAGATTTGAAGTCACTGAGTGTGGAAGAGGAGATTTCGAGTTGAAGTTGCCAAGCATGGAGGGGGAATCAAAAGTCACACCTTGCAAGAGGCCAACAGTTGACTGTCAGTGAGGGGAATTTGTGAATGAGGCACAAGGTGAATTTCATATGATGCAAGAACAGAAGCTACTAATTTAAACAGATACTGAACAAATGGAGACTGTGAGGATGCAAGAGCGCTGAAGATACTCGAGGTGGATACACTACTGACATGAGCTTACAGGCATATGGTAAGGTGTCAGGAAACAGAATGAGCGTTGGTGATGCTTTGCACCTGTGGATACAACAGATGCATTGCTGGCCAGTCAAGGTCATGATGGAATGCATTCGAGTCAGATGAAGTATTGGGAAGTTGAGCATACCCTTTCACCTTTGTATCCAATTCATCATGCACTTACCTGCTGACTTTTTTCCTTGGCAACATTCAGATCTTTGTACAGAATGCAGTATCTGGTCTCATTTTTTTTCACATTCACATGCATGTATACAAAACTCACAATACATGTTGTGAGCAAGACAAAGTCTAGTGTACTCGACCATGTCCCTCTTTGCAACTTTCTGTCCTGCCCATGATTCGACCCACTATACATGCTTTTTCACACTCTGTCCCCATTCCATCATGTTGAGTGGCATGGCATGGGTGTCTGCGAAGTTAGCACAAGCTGTTGCTGCTGTATCTCCTGCTAAGACCATCCATGTGCCAGAGTAAGTGGTACAACCTAAACCATTTCCAACATGCTAAATGTGCCAGCTGTTCAATCTTTGTTCACTGAGGGGAACCTGCCTAGCCTTCCACTCATGCATGAAGTCATATCCTCATAGTGAGTACCTGCCTTCTTGGAATTATGTGTGGTGTTGATGTTGACCAGACCTTCTTAGTCAACCTTCTGGATATAATCTCAGCACAGTCTGGAAGGAATTCGATGGATTACTTTAGAAGAAATCAGGAGTAAGGCTGCCTTCTACTTCTTCATACATCTCTCAGTTCTGTCTCATCTTCTGACTAAAGCATTTCCTTACAGGCAAATGTTGCCCCTCTTCTTAATTCATGCCTATAGACAGCCCCAATTATCACCACTTTCCTGGGGCACAGGCATCTGACTCAGTCATGCAATCATGCCATGCCTCTAGGACTGCACACCCACCAGCAGATGCACAGCCCACACCTCAATGGGCATGACCAGCTCGATTAGATGTCAACAGGCTCAACTCGAAATCACTATGATTCTGTGAGACGACCTTATGTGGATAGCAGGTGGTTCGAAATGTGTTGCCTCATGGGATTCAGTACTTTGGCAACCCTGAAAATTGCACTACAACAGATTTGGATCTGAGGAGTCATGCAAGGTTAGAGGAGGTGGAGAGGTTATGGATAGTGCCATGGAGAACATGGTCCAACTGACAAGTTCCAGACAGGTGTGAGATGTGGATTCGGAGGAGTCACAAGGTGTCAGCATGAAGTAGAAAGAAGGGTGTAGCTATGGGAGACTTGATCATATTTTGGGTGGATCACAGGTGTAGGTGGATTCTGAATGATGCACCCACTGATGATGGGGGAGTTTCGGGAGAGGACAATCATGAGTTGTACTCGTTCTCCTCTAGTTTTGCATGCTGATCTGGTGCATTGGCAGGCCTAGACAATGAGTACAGGTACTGGTCTTATGTCAAAACCCATGCCGCCCATGTGGTTCTCTCCCAAGGGTCCCTGGCAGGAGGCTGTGGACATACTACATTGGTCCTACACAGATTGGCTGCTCACCCATCCCCAACCAATTCAGCTGCCTTTTAGTCAGGAGGAGTGTCAGGAACCATTGAGACTACTCAATGGTGAGGCTGGGACATTTCCATTCAGTTCTACTTGTTTGATTTTTTTTTGACAGATCCAAGTCAGCAATCCACTCTTTCATACACATGCATGGTCACTTGCATTCTTCTACATGCCAGTGAGTTTTTGCACCATACCCCTTGTTGGTGTTATGTTCTTACAGGCTAACATTCTTCATCAGCTCATTGGTGTCAGGTCAATTTCAGGCCACACAAACTGCTCCCATGAGACATCATTGCCACACACACATCAAGGCAGACCCCAATGCTATGCATGGCAGTCAAGATATTGATCAGTATACTGTGCCTTGGCACCCATTCTTGTTCATGGATTGAGTGAGATATAGTGGCCATTTTGTTGTGGAGGGGAATGTAAGCACGCAGAGTAGTGCACCACTGTTTGTCATCAGTGCATGTACCTGTCTCATGGTGAGGGTTAATTGTTATGATGATAGTCATACTCATTCCTAACTTCTTTTCCTTCCCTGCTTTCTGCTTGCACAGTCTGCATTATCCTCAGTGCCTCTGTCACACTTATCTCATTCCTGGGACTGGATGGTATCACACACATTGGAGGTCTGGTTGCCATTTCATGTTCCATTCTGAGCATGGTACATCTTTCCTGTCTATTTTCCAGTATAAAGCAGAGTTGCTGCAGGGTTCTGCAGCTGTTCATCATGCAGCTGCTGCCCATGAAGGATTCATATTTCTCCTGGTGAGTTTGCAGTTCCCCATTATTGCTCCTACCCCTAACTCATCTCAAACCACTTACAGTGCCAAAGCATTCTGCTCTCTCTTCTGCTAGTTTTTCTTGCATATTCTGTGGCTGGGTTCATCACCAGCATCGTTGTCTACACTAGAATCTGTAACATTACATGAACAGAATAAAACAGCTGTAATATTATAATCAGAAAGAAAGCAAGAAAAAAGCTCCTGAAAGGTCAGTTTCAGATTCAAGTTAACATCAAGTCAATTCACATGACAATGCCTGTGACCTTGTGTTGTTGCATATAAGTTATTCACTTGTGAATTTGTACTGCATCAACATCAATCCCCAGAATGCATGGTTGATTACATATCAAAAGGGACTAAGGTGAGCAACTTTCGTACATGTAGTCACCTACTGCTGATGGCATTGTCAAATTCGTGCTTTATTATGTCCTCAGACCAGTTCAATAGCTGGTTATGTCCAACCACTGATATCCAACCTGCTGACAGTCCGCCATGTGGATTCCCTGAGGCTACTACTATGTACATATTGCTTTTTTTTGTACTATTCGAAATTTCCATATTCATCTAAGAGCACCCAACTGGCAGGTGTTGACCTCCATTGGGATTTGTGACATCCATTGCCCTTAATAAGGAGAATAAAGGGAGGCTTGCAAAGGTTCACAACCATCTGTGTGTGGCCTTACCATTTCCTCTGATCCTTAACATCCATTTGCTTCACTGATATGGCACCCAGTGCCTGCTTATGATGCCTTCAACTCTGATGCCAAGGATGGAGGTCCTGAAGACTTCAACCCTGATGAAGGGACAAACAATACTGACTTGGAAGACCTGGACAGTGATGCTGAACAGCACAGGCAACTTACTCATGTTCCCAGACCTCAAGCTGATGTTGCTGAGCTGTGAGCAGTATGTATTTATACATTCTTGTTCATGATGAGTCACCAGGCATTAGTGCTGACATGATGCTAGGCTCTCAGTGTTGTGCAATGAGCATACACCAAATATTGCAAGGAACTGTGCCAGACAAGGAAGGCTCTCTTCAAAGCCAATAGCCAGCGTTCCAAGTGGTCCAGGAACATGTCTAGCAAGTCAAACAGCCTCACAACTTGTATTGAGCAAGAAGCAAAGACATACCTCCTACTGTATCATTTGTTCATCATTCAAAGCCTTTTCCCAGCAGCTCCAAATCCCAATACTGATCAATGCAATCCAGCATGGTGGAAATCACAGGATGGGAAGCTCAAGGGCACTCTGACTGAGCTTTATGAGATGATTCCTGCAGATTTACATGAGTCAATGGTAACCTACAAGCAATTTGGCTCCATGGTACATGTAATTCCAACCTTGGTGACCACTAACATATTAATTTGTTTTAAGTTTGTACAAGTGCATGGTCAGGAGAGATCCAATGTCCTCAAAGTCATCAAGGACTGTGCTGGCATGTTATTCACCCCATATAACATTTCACCTGAATCTCTTTACTGGAAAGCCTGCTTGTAAGAAGGACAACAAGGCATGCCTGGCACTCTTGAAGAAGGATGGAGTTGGAGAATACACCTGTTTTGCACCCATTCTTTTTGCAGATCCTAAGCAGATGATTACTGGAGGCTTCTTGAAGAGTCCCTGTCCTAGTTAAGGTAAGCATGCATGGTTCAATGCTGCTCTTAATCAAAAATTGATTTCAGCCCATTAGGTTATCTGTGTCCTGATGTTTGGAAAATCGATCCTTGCAGAAAACAAATGTGGATGGCCCCCAGCCAGGGGTCAGAAGATGGGCATGCTGAGTGTTACTGAGGGCCTGATTGCTGGTGCCTGCATCTTGGTGAGGGTGTCCATGGTCACTGTGCTAGTACATGCTGACATCAATATCATACCAAGGTTTGATTCCTATTGTTACATGATCCTGAATTAATTGCTACTGGTGCAGAAATGCAGGTCAACTACTGATCAGAATATGATTTCTACCTCAAGAAGCTTTTCAAAGCATCTCCTTGGGCTGTCAGTGTGATGAATTTCTTCAACCAGGAAGTCTTCAGGAAGGGGTCTCAATTGGCAAATGTTGAATCTGAGGTATTTGTGAATGTGGAGCAGCCACATACTTGGGAAGATGAATTTTTAGATGAACTCAATAACATTGACCCTGCTGAGAGTCACCCCTGCCCATTTCCACACTGCATGACCTCAATGCCCCTGGCAGCTGTGATTCAGATCTATGTGACTCTGATCTGTCATTGGTCTCTTGCACTCCATCACCTGTTGCTGGCTTGGTCACTCATTTCAATCCCCCTCACTCTTGTCCAGCTAGTGTCACTGCTGCACAAGCTGATCTCAGTGCTCAAACTATTTCTGGTGCTTCTTGTTGATCGTCCCCTTCTATCTCAATTGGGCAGCCAATTTCAAACAGTGGTGTTGAGGTGTCAGTAGTGACCAATGCTGTTGGTCAGATGAACATGTCTGGCCCAGCTGAGGCTGAAACATCTTGATCCCAATGAGCAATTCCAGTCATGAGTCACCAGTGCAGTGCAGCCACTCAAAAGGTGATTCCAGCCATTCCCAAGGTGGTTCCCAAGGGTCTTACAACTGATATTCATGCTACTGAACCAGGTCTGGAACCCACCCGCTGTGGTCACCATGCTACCACTACAAGGTCCTTGATGTTATGCCTGAGCACAGTGACTTCTTCAAATGGAATAGGCACAAAGCGCACAAGGGGGAGTCTACAGGCCAAATGTGTTGTAACCCCTATGGCTCAGTTATCTCTGAGGTCCAGCAGAGGTTCTGTCTACTAGTGAGTCCCTTGGGTTGTTCACACAGAGAGAGAACAAGGATGAAAGAGAAGGAAGTTAGCTGAGTTGCAAGCTATCAAAAAACTGAGGATACAAGGTAAAGTATGTGGGTTTATATACCTCTAAGTATGAGTACCATACCAGTCACAATGCAACATGTCATGACATGTATCCACAGTAATCAACAGAACAATCAGACAAATAGATAAGTCAAAGGGAGTCATACGGTGTCATATGATGGGGGTAGGCAGGGATATGAAGGCTATACTGGTTGCGCAATCAATGCGCAGTTGGGGGCCTGACACTGGAGCTATAGTACAACAAGTGAGCAATATAAATGAGTCAAATGGAACAAGAAGGAAACATGTCGTCCATCAGAGAGGGCAGTGGAACACTGGATCAACCCAAAGGCATGGCTTTGACAGGTATTGGAAATACCATGACAACAGGAGATCTGAATGTACCCTGGAACATTCGAGCCCCTAGGATGGCAATGATTACAAGGGACATGACAAGGGACATGACACACATGACCATGAGAAGTCAAAAAAGGCAAGACCCCTGATGGAGGCATAACACTTGAAACTGAAGAAGATGAAGGTTTGAATTAATAGCAGTACCAGGTGTCACTTATGTGCTGGGTTTCTATATGTTCTACAGTCTTTGATTTAGCTTGCATCCCATTATATTAGATGCAATTCATGTTTCAAGGTCATGTAGATCTACTTGTAATACATTCATTCACTGTAATCATACATTGTCACCATTGTCCTCTGGAATTACCTGATCTGATTTCTTCGAAGTCATTCAAACTCTGCTGGCTATATTATAAGTGACTCACCCCTCTTCTCATGCCTTGTTGTCTCCTGCATTGTTGTCCTGGTTCATTGCATTGTCATACAGTGTTGTCACTGTTATCCACCCCATTGTGCTCATTCATCATTGTCTGTTGCCTGGGGAGTGGGTTTGAGGGTCGAGGTATGTTTCCCCCATGACACTATTATTACTTCTGACATTAACTTTTTTCAAGGTTCCAGACAACTCATGACAGCATTGTGTGTCAATGCTATGAATGCCTCTCATGCAACACTTATTCTATCTTCCTCATCCCATCACCCCATATTGCCACTCCCATTGGTTCACTAATCTTGTGAGTATTTTAATTACACTGTAAGCTATGATCTGATGGTTGTTGACAGCATATGCATTTGCTTTTGTCCTTGTGTCATCATTGCAATGACCCCCATACTTATGTTGAGCTGCTGTCCTTTCCTCCCCTTACTGCTCTTAGTCACTCATTGTCTGCTTCACATGTCTGCTCACACCACTGGCATTATTAGGTAGAACTCTCCAATTATTACTACCACTCATCTATACATCAATAAGTAGTGATTTCCGAATGGAATTTTAACCATCATCGTGAGTGTACCAAGGCAAAATGAAATAACAATGGATTGTCAAAATATTAATAAATAATAATGGTTAGTATACATTGTGATGAGTTCCACTGGTATTGCTATGGGTTCTTCACCATTGTCATGCTGTTAGAAGTACTTATTAGGCCACAACAATATAATACCATGATTAGGTAAAATAATGAGTTATCAAAGTCATAATCATGAGATGACATGTATTTCAACCACATGTTCATGGAAAGTGGGTGGCATTACAAGTCATTAAAAGGCAGCATGGGAAATCCGCTCCTATTAAGGTATGCTAATGACTTGTCATGGATCTAGGAAATTTGTGACAAGCCCACTTCTCAATTTCACATGCAATGACAACATAAATTCGACAGATGCATTGCAGTTGCATTGGCCATCCATACCCATATGTAACAGAATGACAATCCCTGCAATTGGGGTGTTCCAGTCGATGATGGTCAACGCATCCCAGAAGTAAGGGAGTTGGAGGAATGAACTAAGAGTGGCATACCCCTTTGTTTTTTGACCATAGACCCACCAGAGCAGGCAAGATTGGGGAGGGGATAGTTGGATCACCATAGAAAAATAGTCACTGGCATTGCAGATGAGGGAGGCAGTCATCTGCACAAGAATCAAGGGGGAGAGAGTGGAAGTACAGCATCATAATCTCTGAAAGAGTGATGTTGCAGAACCTAACCCTATTGCCACAGTCCTTCCAGTGGACCTTTGGCTTTCAGAGGGGGTGGATCCCCAAGTTCACCTTATTTCACCTTCTTTTTCATTAACAAAACTACAAAAACAACTAAAAATAAACCGTCTTTGCAGGATAGGACGTCTTCCACTTCGGTTGTCATGTGCTAAGCCAAACCCCAAGCCATATTCCCGCCTGTCTGAGGAAAAATCAAAGGGGAAATGGCTGCCTGATGCTCGCCCTTTTGAGGAACCAGTCAAAGGAGCCAGAGGGGTCTATGCGATATCGACTGACCTATACGAGCACGTGAAAAATGGTGTGTCAAAGGACTCAACAGGTCTGGAACCCAAGGGAAATGTCACCGTGGCAGAAGATGGAACAAAATGATTTGGAACCACAAGGTTGTATATTCCTCCAGATCATCGCCAACATTGTATGAGGTCATTCCATGACCACAAGTCAGCCAGCCATCCCAGACAGAAAGCAATGTTCACCAAGATGAGAAAAGAGGTATGGTGGGAAGGTATGGGAAGGGACATCAAAAAGTATGTGTCGGGATGCCCACTTTGTCAAACCACGAAGGTCGTCACACACCCACCAACACCACCCATTGTCCTGCACGAAACCCCCCAAACCACCTTCCCATTTCAACAAATCTCAATGGACCTTGTAACAGATCTTCCCATCTCCGGGAACGACAAATACAACTCAATTCTCATGGTTGTTGATCAAGGGCTAACAAAAGCCATGTTGTTCCTTCCATGTCATAAAACAATTGACTCTGTTGGCCTCGCCCGACTCTTCCATCAGTTCATTTATTCCCAATATGGAATACCAGAGTCAATCATCTCAGATCATGGACCCCAGTTTGTATCATCCTTCACCAGAGAGCTGTACAAGGCTCTAGGGATAAAGGCCAAACTTTCATCAGGTTATCATCCTCAGACAAATGGAGAAAGTGAACCAGTCAACCAAGAAGTCGAAGGGTATTTGTGCCTCTACTGTTCCGAGTTCCCTAACTCTTGGTCCTCTAAACTTCTGTCAGCAGAGTTCACCCATAATTCTCAGGTGCACTCCATCCATCAAATGACTCTGTTTTTGCTACTCCTTGGATACCACCCGTCCCCTTACCCCGAGGTTCAGCTCACCCTGGTACCATCAGTAGACAAAAGGCTCGAAAAGCTGGCAGTGAGCTGAGATGTTGCGATACTTGCACACAAGAAGGCACAAGATCTGATGCATTCATGCTCAAAAGGGTCTTATGTCACACCCCAAGCCAGAGATCAGGTACTTTTGGATACTGGACATCTCCATATCAAAAACCAGTGCGACAAGATTGCACCCTGACATCTTGGCCCCTTCACGGTGACTCAGGTTGTGTCACCAGTCACTTTCTGATTGGACCTTCCACCAATGTGGAAAGTACACCCTGTGTTCCACACCTCACAGATCTTCCCTTTCATCAAAAATGAAACTTATGGGGCTGCACCCGCAGCTCCTTTACCCAAACTTGTGGATGATGAGATTGAATGAGAAGTGGAGTCTATTCTTAACCACAAAACTGATGGTCATAGGGGAAAATGACGGTACCTGGTCAAGTGGAAAGGGTTTCCACATTCATCAAATACCTGGGAACCTGAAGAACATATAAAGGAGCACACCTCCAAGGTGCTTGACCAGTACAAACTTGCCCACCACCTCAAAAATTAGATGGACTCCCCTCGCTCCATAAACACAGAAAACGACCATGCCAATCTCCCCATCCCCACAGAATCCTTTCACGACACCAATGACAACAGGCTCATTCCACCTGTCACTGTCTATGCCCCAGCCTCGCCTCCAACATCCCCCACTGGCTTTTATGTCTCTGACTTCTCCTCACCCATCTCTCAATCCTGTCTGCTATTGCCCCCTGTCCCCAGGGCTTGGGGACCATGTCCACTCTTGGCGTTCTCAATCAAATGCATCCCTGCCCCAAAGGCCAGAGTCCCCCTCCATGAGGACAGTAACTGCAAGGGAAAGGGTAAAGTGCGAGTTGACAATGACCCTGATAGTCCAACAGCCACCTCCAGTAGCACCAATGTTACTGAACCTCCCCACTTACACACCACCTTCACCACCTACTCTGACAGCCCTCAACACACAGCCCTCAACCTCCTTGTGACCGCTGCCACTGCCC